GCCATGCCGGATACTCGTTGCTGGATATTGTCGCATGCGATGTTCGAAGGAGCGGAAATTATGCACTGGGAATGGCTTTTACTGAGACCAAGAATGGAAGCGATCACCGCAGTGATGTGGGACCAACTTTTCTGTGGTGATTTAAGCTCTCAAGCACAGCCCACAAGTCTCAACTGCAATAACACATCTGTGGTCTGTGATGTGGGACTTTCCAGAACCAGCCGGGGCTGAGATTACCGCCATGCTGAAGAGCACCTGGAGAAATACTGTTGGAAGCGGCCCTTATCGTCCGGGTTCAGGAGGCCGAGGGATTGTTGAAGCACAGCTGGGTCGATATTGACGACTAGCAGGTTGAAAGTTGGGGTAGTTGGCATCGGGAAACCTTCGCCGCTCTCGAGGTCAGAAGTTATCAATAGTAGAACATCGAAACCTTTTCCAGTAAAGAACTGGCTGGTTCTTTGCCAGGTTGGGGCTTCGCCAGTCAAAGGCCACTTTTGAGCCTCGCGGCGTAAGCGACAATGCCGTTGTGACTCACTTCTGAAGCCCGAGTGGCAGAAGAATGCAGCAGTGCCTATCTTGCTAACAGGAGGTCTTACTGTGTCCGTATCTGAATTTGGAACTCCGCTTGGTAGCCTCCATCATTCTTGTCCTTCAGCTGCAAGGTTACATGGCCCCGCTCAGATCGATACCTTCCAGGTAGGGAGGGTAGGGCGATCGCATCCCAGATGGACTTCTGAGAGCCTAGAGATGGCTTAGAATTTCCCTGTTGCATGCTCGCATTGTCGGCGTTGCAATCCTGATTAAACTACTCCGCTGCTGTGAAATTTTCCATACTGGAAATAGATATCTCCTCTTCACTACCCCAAGATATATTGTGAAAGCCGGGGCTGTAGACATGAACGCCATAACGGCTGGTTGGTTTTTTGATGGAGCGAGCCACGGCTTCCTCATTGTTGTTCAACTGTAAGTCAATAGTTAGCTAGATGAAGGCCAGTATAAGACGTGGACTTACCCAGTACTCGTCGGCATTTGTAAGAGCAATAGCCACCTTCTTTGTCTTCTAGGCAAGGACGAGATGGCGGTCCTCGCACAGAGTACCTAAGTCCTTCCGATGTTCGAATATATCTTGGACATGAACCATCTCGAGCGCCGTGTCAAGGAGCTCAGAATTGTCGTAACGGGTAATGATGTCCGACGATTTCCCGTAGTTGGCCTTGATCCCCTTGTCATAGGGTTGATCATCCCATCGATATCTATTGATTATATTAGCACTCTCATACCTATTTCTGACTCTGTCACTTGACTTACTCGCAAATCTCATTGCTGTAGTCAAAAGGCGTTGTATTCAAATCGTCAAGCGTTGCGAAGGTTTGAAGATTCTTAGGCCCGCTCGCACAATGAATCAGAATACTTGTGAGAGCTAGATGTGTTATTTGCAGTTGAGACTACCGCTTGATGCTGTGAATCACCACAAAACACTTTGTCGAAGTCTTGTCATGTAAGCAAGATATAATATATATAGACTTTGATGTCAGGGTGTATCCTGGGTGTCCTTGTCAGGTTATCCAGGCGATAGCGAAGATCACGTTCTATTTCCGATGACATCAGAACGAGGCCTCAACAGTTGAAGAATAACTATGTTGGGGCGAAACCGAAAACCTGTGTCGCTTTGTTTGCCCCCGTATGCTATTGAAGTGTTAGCTTCGGCTGTTTGCCGGCCAAGTGTTTCACGACCTTGAATTCTTTGCTGCGCGTGTAACGATAAGATGAGGTGTGCCGGCTTCTTGTAACTAAAGTAGCATACAGTGGTTGGGTGATTTCGGTAGATGTTTGTTGAGTTGGAAGTGAAAGAAGAAGAGCAATCGCGTGGATGTGGTATGATAAAATGTGAAGAGAGGCTGTAGCAACGAGGTTGGGCGCTGGCTGGAGGCAATGAAACAGTCACGTGGGAAAGGCCTTATGTGAGTTGGTTTTACGCCATGGCACTGCTATGAACTGGCGAGGATATCGATGACATTTGCGTTATATGCCACTAATGCACACACGTCTCTTCAGCAATCACCCAATGGTGTTTGTAATAAGGGCTTTGCCTCGCACGTTTGAATCACACCATGAGCATCAATAAACAGGTATTTGGGTTACTCATAACAATGAATTGAAATACGGGCCGGGATATTTTCCTTCATTGCTGAAGCCTGAAATGCTTCTCGGTAAGGCGGCGTGTCTTGACACTCAAAGCCAATGAAGTTAATGGCGGGGATTTGGGGTAGGCTGTGCCACCACAAACAAAACGTGGTAGTAATTATAGCAATGATAGACGATGACTTTTAGACTTTATCGACTCTGACGTGGCCCACGTTGTATGGGTGACCTCCAATCCAACCCTGCATAGCACCCAGTGTTTGGATGTCTGTGTTATCAAGGTGTACAGATAAAATCACATTGACTGGTTGTAGCATCACCTCTAGAGTAGGGGATGGATTCCATGATTGGCGAGTGCCGACATTACCGGGCATAAGGAAAACCGGAGTGATATGCTCATCGTGGTGCTAGAGAAAAATAGGCATGGCTTCCAGCTCCGGTACTCCACCTTGGGTGATGAAATGCTTTGTAGCCAGTCGATTATATAGCTGTGATGTGCTTCAGACTTGTCCCTGGTTGCAGGCATGTTCTAGCTGCTGCACGAAGTTGCTTGCAAACCCGCGAGGCCCACCTCCGCATTTGCTCTCGAAGCTGCAGGCAGCGATGAGTTCCTTTCTTCGCCCCATGCTACCAATAGCCGCATGGCAGCAATCCAGAAGAATGAAGAAATTTGCTGGGGAGGGGCCAAGGATTGTGTGTCTGAGACGATTGAAATCAATCATCGGGTCCTTGATCGCCTGTCTAGATGAGGAGTGACCGACATATGTCGTAAGAAAGGAAGAGTGTCCTAGAAATCCATTACACATTTGTAAGTGAACCCAGCTTGAGTAGCCGCCGGGGGTTCACCGAGATCCCTCACATTTCCAACCTTGTCGCCGAGTACCTTATGAGCGCCTTCGCGTTGCCGCTAGTCATGCAGTGAATTTGTTCGCCCAAAGCTGTATATTTGTCGGTAGGGGTAGTTTCGGGGTGCAGCATGATGCTGGAAATGACGCTGCGCTGGTCATCGTTGAAGGTCACGCCGTCCAGGTCCGGAAGCTCAGCGTAATCTTCTAGGTATCAGACAGGGGCACCGCACATCGCCGTGAACTTCGGATTTGTCGTTGATGGAGTAGGGCTGAAGGCTAGGGGCTGTGGCACGTTCATAGGTGCGCGGGGTAATGTACGTTTCCAGCTCTGGAAGAGTACGCAGGGAGCGAAGATGGTTGGAATTGAAACGAGCTGGGTCGTCCCGTCCCGCGGGAATCGAGGTGGTGAACGAGATGCCTACAGAGGTAGAGTACAAAATCGAAATGTTGTACGCCACCAAATGGCCTTCTTCAGTCTATTCTAAGCCGTGAACAAACCAGTGCAACCGTATGGCCGTTCACAGCGAGGTGGCTGACTCCAGTCCTGAAGGTGCGTGCAATTGCCCGGTCATCGGCGATATCCTCATAAATGGCTCCTGTGTCGGCGTCGTAGACTTCAAACTCGTAGCCTCTTTCGACTAGGCGGTTGCTCTTCGTTTTCACCGTAGCCTTCATATCATTGGGGCGGCATAGTTGTAATCGCGAACGAGCGTGGCGGTATGTTCGAGAGTGAGAGTGCAGTTGCTCTTGGTTTCTCAGCTTCAAAGTGAGCAAGCCACACGTGCGAGTCATCTTGATTACATGGTACCGGTTCGCATAGATCAAGTACTTGCCGGAACGGCAGAGTGAGCTTTTTGTTGGCCATTGTGCCTGTTTCTAGACACGAACAGAGGGTCGCAGCGTCAAACGATTCTGGAAATAGGATGCTAAGGCCGGAACGTGACACTGGTGGATTTTGAATCGTACAGATATATAAAAAGCACCCCTGGTTCGCTTAGATGAGAGAGGCGGGTTCAGCATATTTCCCCTAAGTACTGCAAAGATCTAGGTAAGTTTAGGGAAATCAAGTAGGTCTTTGGATTGCCTTACTTACTTACTTTACACGTAGTTGGAGGTCAGAAGTTCTTTTCTTTCTGGGAGTATAGCAGCTGGTGGTTTGGCAAGGAAAATATCCCGCCACCCTCCGAGCGTCAAGCTTCAGTCCCAGAACCGGGTTATAAGCACCCTCTGTGTCCTAAAAGAAATCAGGTTGGCAGATACATTACCTTCTTTTGTAACTCTGTTCACGATTCTCTTTCATGGCTTTCTGTACCGCAAACTTGCGTTAAATGTCCAACGGGGGATGCCCACTCCGCCGTCCTCGCCGTCCAATGCTGCGAGTTTTGTGCCCTATTGCAGACTGAAGCACCGTCAGCGAGCTCCATGTATGTGAAGTTTAAGGAGGCGTTCCCTGTAGATGCGGAGCCTTTGTATCAGCTGCTTGAGCCTATTGCCCAAGATCAGCGTTAACGACGAGCGGAGGAGCCGCAATAAAACCACGCGAAGGCAATGGAAGTCTGGTTTGTAAGTTTACAGAATCTATCGATAAAGGAAGAGATATACCAGTGGAAGTTCGCTTATAGATATAGAACGATGTTAAAAATACCATCTCTTTTTAAGTAAAGCAGCCTACCAGATTTCCCATTTCTGATCACCAATAGCACAAAGTCTATTAAACAGCTGATCTCTCCAAGCCATTGCTGTGATCAAATAGGATTTTCCATCGTTTTCAACTATTTCGAGTCCATCTGTGATTTCACTTTCCAAGGCCCATCCAGCAAGAAGTTTTGCTTTAGCTCCGTATCCAGAATATTTGTTCAGTGTTGTGATTCCCTTCACAGGTATCGTCCAAGTTGGCAGTACCTCGTGATGGCCTGAATCATCTGAGTCGCCGACTGATCTTCTCGAAAAGCAAAGGCAAGGAGAATCAGTGTCTGTAGTGAGATATACAAATCCCTTTTCTCCCTGCCAGCGGCATGTGAACTCGACCGGTCCAGCAATCGAAGGTTCCTCTCTGGTCGATGCAGCTCCAACACGGTTCTTCGCAGATACCGTTCCTGTCTTAGCTCGAATTTTGTTGACACCAATGACTGTCTTTGCCGCCGCCTGAACAACAGGTTTGACAACCCCCAAGAGTTTGCCGCGTCTTTTTCCACCGCTCTCATGGTCAGGGTACTCATGGTCGTCACCACCGGTGCCTTGGACAACTCCAGGTTCTTCCTGAACCGCTCTTCGAATCTCCTCGGGTGACGCTCCCATAGGACAATCACCAGCTGATGCACTCAGAGCATCGCCATCAAGGACGAGAGCTTCGTCAAGAGGTGGACCTTTTGGTTCTGGAGATGGTGGCAGAGGGGCTTTGTTTCGTTCACCATGTCGTAGGAGGGCTATTGTTAATTGGGAATCTGTTGGTATTCCCCGGAATACAATTCTGAAATTGTCAGCGGGATTGGGATTACATCTTTAATATCTACACACCTTTCAATATTATGCTTTAGCCAGCCATAAGAGTTTCTCAAGAAGATGCTACCAAAGAAGCCAACCCCAAGAGCCAACGTAACAACTCTGTAAAACATGTAACAGGATGTGAAAACTGACATGATCACAATTGGCAGGAGAAGTTGTACGATCCGGTAGCGAGCTGTATCTCTTGAAAAAGGTGCAGTCGGATCAAGGAGACTCGTCGTAAGTTAGAAGATGGCGTGGCTGGAAATATATTCTGAATGGTGAACACTTACTTCGCGCTTCTCTCCCAAATATCGCAGAAGCGACATGTCCAGTGCATCAGTGGTCTCATCTGACTCCACATAAGCTCCTGCATAGGCGATTTGCTCTTGTCCCAAGACGGCTTCTCGATTCCAGCTGCCTTATCCTTTGCAGTTGCTATCCTAGTAGCTAACGACCTTGGATCCGGAAGGTTAACAGTCTTTCCACCTCCTCTCTGGGACTCGTCATGCTGCGGATCCTTGTCGACAAAGATATTTATGGACAGCGCCACAAGACCGGTAGCAAAGTTACTGGCTTCTCTCTCCAGAGTCTCACCTTTAAGGCTCTCTGGGGCACCTGTAGCCGTATCGACCGTGCCTAGAATACCTGCGGCGGGCTTTATCAAGTGGCCGCCTTGGTAATGGACTATTGAAGGCGGGCAAGGCGGGAATAAGGTATTTCGAATTTTGGGAGAGAGCAGGATGGCCATCAAACCTGTCAGTAGTGTTGGCATGAGGAAGTTGGAATACCACGCAGCGAGATAAGCCTAAATGGTGAGCGGGGATGTTCTTTTCCTGACAGACAGGTTGACCTACCAGACAGAAGCACGATGTTCGCCTTGGCTCCCTCCACGACTGGAGTCTTGAGAGGTGTTGTCTGAACATAATAAAGCCAAGTACCTAGGACTGTCAGCACTCTTTGATGACCAGGGACTAAAACACCTACCGCCTCCATGTAAAGCCTTTCGATTTGTGCACGCAGCTTGTTCGGAGAGAATTGCTCCTCTTCAGCAACGTTGAAATCCATCTCATCTTCTGGGTGATTCGGGGCATGTTTGAGATGAAAGACACGCTGTTTCTAGTTAGCTGATGCACACGCCAGCTGAGTAGTCAACTCACTTTATTAAACCTTCGGACGAGAAGCCAGATATCTTCATTCTTTATGCCATCGACGGCATAGTCCTCAGGTCGTATCTGGTCATCACCCCAGCCAACGTCTTGAACTTCTGCTGGATTGGAAGTAACATCCTCTTTCGGTTTCTCCGCTGCATCGTGACGCAGAGGTTCATATTGAACACTCGTGTGAAGAGTTGTGCTACCATCAGCACCGTGCTCAAGGTTGGCAGCAATGTGCCTCCTTTGACATGCATTCTGGTCCATAATGCATAAATTCTTTCTTAAGAAACAAATAAAACATTTCCGTAGTAAATACGAAAATTGGAAATAAGCTCATACGAGGAGTCTTGACCCCGGGTAGCCAAGATCCTTAGCGCATGATGTCAGGGGATGGCGAATGCGCCGCGTCGCGCATCAGGGCGTCATATTGATCAATTTGACACAGCGGCAACCACTACAGGTGCATCATACACCAAGAAGTAGCGTGATTAAGGAGCATTTCCTCCGCGAGGTCTCAAATCGGGTCGGCGAAGATGTTGGCGTGCATTGGTGTTGGTTTGGTTGAGTGCATGACTACTCATTTCTGTGTGACGTCGTCGCGTCCGTGATTAGACGATGCTGGAGGCTTAGGGTAGGAGAATGGTTGGAACGAGTTTCACCTTAATTTCACTGCAGTAGATATTCTCAAATTTATTTATGGCGATATAATTAATAAACTTAAAATAAGTGTATTTCAGATGTTCAATTTTGATTGGAGTAGATTCCTGTATGGGCTTAGGTGACTCGTGCTACTCTTCTCACTTGGTGTTGTACTGAATGTTAGTGAAAATGTAAGTGAGAAGTGCCTCAACTGACAATAATGAGGTCACAGGTAGTCTTTGTCCTACCAAACGCATCGCGTCTTAACAAAGACGCGTTTTCACCGAAATCAACAACTCCAAAAGACAAATGGCTATTTTCTACCTTGTGTTTCTAGGCAAAGTTTGCCAAGCGTCCCTCTTGTCGCGTCTTTCCCCAGGTTGCATGTGCATGGTCACAGACGACGCGCCGTAATTGAGGGACAGGTAATCTGGTATCTTGACATTATTAAATAGCAAAGACTACGGATTTACTACCTGCTCAGATAAATTATGCCTTCGCTACTAAAATCTCATTCTTCTCCAACGCCTTCTTTCCGATCTCTACCATTTCTGCATTGGACAAAGTATCCTTACCGAATCCAGTGATGGACTGTTCAATTAGTCCTGCGACCAACTCCGTCCTCCCAATATTAGGGATGTTGATGACAGCATGCGAGAACCAACGCATCCCTTGTTTCAAGAAACCCATATCTGGGTCGTTGACCATTCCTGACTTGGTAACGAGAACCTGCATTCTCCCGTCCGATAGGTGCGCGCGCTCAATGATCTGTTTCTCTACCTGGCCCTGGACGCGCTGTTAACAAAGACAGGGCAACAGTGTGCTTCAGAACATACACGAAGGAGACAGTAGTCTCCGAGAATCCATGGCTTCTTTGCAGGATCTCGCTCGGCGTTGCAACCGCTCACGTAGATGAATCGCAAAGGGTCCGGGTTGCCCTCACGCGGAAGCTTCGCAAACGTGTCGGCGGCATAGAGCGCATACTCATAGCATATCATACGAACTTGGTCCCAATCGTACTGCTTCAATTTACCGGGTGTCACTCCAATAAGCCTGCACGGTTAGTTGTATCACATGGAGAAGCCAGCCGGACATACCATATGCAGGCGTCTGCGCCAGAGATCTCATCCTTGACATATTGCGGGTAGTTCTTGAAGTCAGAACAGGTGACAGACGTGAGCTTGGACTCGATTTCTGGTGTTTGTAGGTCCTCGGCGAGATCATGGTCGTGGCGCGATAATGTGACGACTGAGGTGATCTGGGGGTGCAGGAGCGCCTGGCGGACGACTTCCTTCCCGATGAACCCGGTTGATCCTGCGATAACGACTTTCATTTCGACGATGATTTCGAGGAGCTTTTTATTTGTTTTTGACTGCGGGAAGCTTCAGGGACTTAAATACTGCATATGCCCATGTATCGGGTCGATAAATCCTCATCTGACGACCTGAAAAGGTCCCATGCGCCGCCAATACTTATAAGACTCGTTATCACTTACGTCGTCATCTCTATGAAGCCTCAATTCTCCGGAAGCTACAAGATCTGCACTAGCATCGATCTCATCAAAAAACAAGCTCATGAGGCTTGTTCTATTCAATTCAACATACCAGAACCGGGAGACTGCAAGGTCCGATTCCCGGATTTACGGCGCCGGATCGGGTATCGAGTGCGAGATCCATTGCAGCAGGCATTCCACCCGCTAAAGTCCATTCTTGAACAGACAATTTATCGGCAGGGTCCAGAGATTTGGGAGCAGGTAAGCTTGTATTGAGTTTACACATAAATCATGACTTTCATGATGCAAATGTGATCATTCCTGACTGTCGAAGCAGTGCGCCTCAACCACAGATGGTGATCATCTCATCCTGGTCGGTGTGGAAGCCAAGTCTGCCTTGCAAATCCACGCAGGATGCGATACCGAAGCTGCAGCGCTGTAATTCCGCTTCCCCACCGCAGCGCCAGGTCACACAGTGTCTCGGTCACTGAAGATGGCAGGCTTCATGCAAGGCGTTCTGCCCGCATTGAGAGGACAGTTAACAATTCGAAAACCTTTATCGCTTCATGAACTTCATCATGTAACGATTTGTGAATAGACTCATCGCAAGATGCCTTCGCTCCCCGCGTTTCTGTCGCGTTCGGTGCCAGCGTCCAGCAGCAGCAGCGGCGTGATCACTAATGCACCTGTGATTCCCAGCACCCGCCTGGGTCCCGCAGCCGATCTGCTGGAAACCGAATTGCTTAGAATGTACTGGGAGGGAGTCGAGCGCGAGCTGCCTTACTTGCTGTTGACATTCGGGCGCTGGCAATCACATCCAGACACATCCGACTTTCTCCCAGAGGAAGAGGATGATTTTATTTACGGTTACGATACGTTTCTCGATTCACTTTCCGATATTTCTCGCCAATTTCATGAACGCAACAAGAGGAACCAACGATCCAAGCGTCCAGAGAAGAAAGCGAAGAAAGACACCAAAGCGCCACCTTCATACGATGAAGTTCTACGAGACCGTGGCTGGGATATCTTCGCCGACATAAAGAGCAACAGTATCAAGGGCGGTATAAGAACCTCCCTCAGCGAGCGCAAACTTCTGGACCCAGCTAGACGAAGAGCCCGCATGCTTCTTCAATCAGCGCAATTTCTTGACATCGACAAAATTATCGAGCATCGCGAACCTGAAAAAGCACTATCGTTCTGGAAAAGACCTGCCTCTGCTCAAATTAGGCTCTGGTCATATGACGATTTGAACCAGCCGGTATTCGTCCCCCAGCTCTGCTCCGAATGCAAGGCGACAATTCGGGGATGCACCTTTCAGGACACCAGCGATGAAAGCATTGTCATCTGCGAAAGCTGTTACCGAGCGACACATTATGGCCAGACTCGCTTTGTCAAGAAATACAAAGAATGCTGCCTTCCAACAGCCTTGACGCCAGAGATTAGTCGCAAGTTGTGCTATTGCAGTACAGTTCGTCGACGAGACCAAGATGGACGCTCTCGGTCGCTGTGGCCGATCGATCCTACGCGCGACGAAGGCCACCACATCAAAGGCGGGCTTGGTCGCGTAGGCTGCGGATTGTACACGGTCACAGACCTCTTTGCAGAGGCAAAGTATGCGTCTACACGATCACAGTTCGGCAAAAACGACAGCCTTCTTCAATTACGAAAGAAGGACCCGGTAGGAGGCGAGCTGCCGAAACCTGTGGCCGCCACCAGGAAGCAACCAAGTCGATTGGGGCATCTCAACGAGACCTCGCTGCCCGAATATGGCTATTCTTATGGGTTCAGCACCGATGAGCCGGAGAATATCCCCATATACTTGAGGTCTACGATTGAGAAGTATCCGTATGGTAACGTTCACATGGCGATTCGCTTTGGCCCTCTAATCATCGAGAATGGCGTCGCAAAGTAAGTCGCTCGACTCATCATTCATAACAGAAACTGACAGTACAGTACCATGGGCGGCGTGCTTATCACCAGTCGAGATCCACCTTCATTACAAGTCATCCGTGATCCCTCCGAAAACATCACCAAATCCCTTCTCCTCACAGGCGAGAGAGATCGTCTTCTCTACATACAAGATAGGCCGCGACACCCGAAGCGATACAAAGCTTTCATGAAGCAAGTCGTCGGGGGTGCCTTTTGCGACTTCTTCGAGTCTGGGATTGAGGATGAGCTTATCGACGCCTTCATACATGAATCAAATTGTCTTACCCAGGACGGATTGACTTTTGCAGAGCAAGAAACTATGCTTGAACAGGGCACCAAACGTCTGCTTCTACACGTCAAAGAGTACCTCGCATCGAGGGTGCAGGCGTACATCTCGAGCATCACTGCTCATCTTCTCGACCCAGAGGTCCAGCTCAAATGGCATTACCGCGACAACAATTGCCAGGCGTTCTGTGACAAATTGATTGACCGTGACATATTCGGTCCCCTCTTTGCCTCCAAGACAGCGGTAGGCAAACCGATGCCACTGTACTTGATGAGTTTTGTGTGTCGACCCGGCTCAAATGTTCCTACACGGGCATTCTCAAAATACGACGTCCCAAATGGCCTTACAGAAGAGTACCTCCTCAAGTTTCGCTATGGACGCCACGATGACTCTGACATTGTCGATTCACTCGCGGAATACTGGACAGATTGGGCTTGCCTGGAAGGGCCAATTTATCCATACCAAGATGTCTTTCCATGGGATTGTACCGAAGCATATGATCGGTATCCCGGGAACTGTGGCGACTGCAACATTGGAAAACATGTTCTCGCATTCCCATTTGACTCTTGGTCCATCGCGTCTCTGCATCTTGCCCGAGGCCGGCAATTGTATCCCGCCAATACTCAGCCTTCGATCGGCAAGTCAGCAGAGAAGCGAGCAAACCCAGGCATCATGACAGATACAGAGTGGTTCAAGAACCGCATCACCGTGCTACTCGGGCAAGATGTCCTCCTCACGACTGCGGTTGCCATGGCGAATTCTAGTCAATTCCAAGCATCAACAACATGGCTCACCAACCATGAGGACGAGACCATGGACAGACTCAAGCTCGGCGGTATTCATCGCGCACAGCCTTTCAGTCACCACTTTGAGAAAGGGGCTTACCATCAATACTTTGTCGCCGACTGGGCCTTCCTCGCCCAGCCTTTACGACTTGTCGAGTATGAGAAGTTTAGGGACTGGAGAGCAACTAAGATCGATGTTGGTGCAAACACGTCAGATGATGGTGGCGGAGGAGGAGGATGCGGCGCAGGTCACTTCGCTTGTGGTGCGATAGCAGCGGGATGTGCAGCAGGATCTCCAGGAATGGCTGGGGACACCTGTGGAAGTGGATGCGTTTCAAGTTGTGGTGGCGGTGACGGTGGCGATGGAGGATGTGGTGGTTGTGGAGGATGAAGGGATGAAGCTTAGCAATCTACATCAAGTATATACACGAATCTACATCGATCATAAGATACAAACTGACCCATTTACTACGTGTGATGTCCCGCCCAATGACACTCGTGCTTTCCCTTCGCACAAAACCACCATCGAGTAGACCTTTTCCCTATAGGCCACATACATATCGCGCAATCGACATTTCTCGGCAATGTTCTGCTGAGATAAAACTCATCTCTCTTCTCCCTCATCTCCGTGAGTTTCGCCCCATGAAGCTTGATACAGTATCGACATAGGAATGAACCACCGTCTTCCCATTGCGGCTCGCGGAAAGTACAGCAATTAATGTGCTGCATCTCGAGATCTTGCATGTTCCATTTCGCATTGAAGGGCGCTGCACCGCCAGGAGCGGAAATGAGATAGCACATTGTACAAACGGCGTAACAATGCGAGAAATGATATTTTATACGGGACGATCGGATTCGTTGTTTTGGGGCTCTGCAGGTCTGCGATCATGTCAGCATTGAGTAGCGAGAAGTGCCGATTGAACTTACGTCGCAGATCACACGTTCGCATGACCAACACTCGCTCTTCTTCCCTTTGATACACGACGCTACGCATAGCGACTCTATTCGGTCTCGGCGGGAGTCTGGATCCATCGATGGATAGAAGATTGAGGTACGTATCAATTTGGATGTGAGCGATAAGTTCACCATGTCGTCGTAGTGAAGGTGGCTTGCGACTCGCTCAGCAATATCGTCGTTCTGTAACACGATTGCTAAGGATCTCTCTCGACCTGAAGGCTTCTGCGATAATAGTCGATTGATGTCATGCGGCCATCGCTTGACCGGTTTGTGCTGTACTGGTAGGAAGCATCGTCTGAGTACAATCGCTGGGACGCTGATGAAGCGAGGGAACGCGGCGAGGGGGAACAAGAGAACGTCTTGACTAGCAAGAAGGATGATTGTGAACATGGTCATGATCTTGCCAAGGCTAGCTCCAAACGTCCAGTCTTTGGATCCTGTAGGAATCGGATTCCGGCAGACTTCCACGATCAAGAAGAGAATGATTGCCCAGTCGACGCACAGGATGTAAAAGCAACCGCGGCTTCGCTGGGAGGAGTTCCATGCGCCTAGCGATCCTTGGCTCTTGCATGTCGTCGCAATTATTGCGCTGACGAGAGGCCATATCGTCAACCAGATGCCCTACAACCGTCAGTACACATGTCGCGAATTAGCTGGAATACTCACAAGAAATTGACGTCCTCTGTCTAAGTGTCCCAGCCTCCACCAGGGATTCAATACCACCAAGGGTCCATACAGCCAGAGAGGGATGATTGACCAGAAGCGAAGTCGTCCAAATGTCCTTGCCGTCCTGCCCAAGATACTAGCCACGTTGACGAGCATGAGGATACCCCATAGTATCATAAAGATCGAGAAGAACGCTTTGTGTAGAGTATTCATGATTGCATCGTTCTCTCAGCATGAACGTTGATGTTGCGTTGTGAATGAATGTCGACAGCTCAGCTCAGTGAACTTACAGTGGCTGGTCAATAGCGGAATGGCCCCGCGATGATCGACAGGTCGAGAACGCCTGGGCGATGGACCTCTCTTTAGCCGGGCGTAAGATGTCTTTGTTTCAGGGCGCGCGATTGGTGAGATTGCGAAGCTGATGAGCAAGGGTGTCCTTGAGGTGGTACACTTTTTGTTTGAGGCGTGACGAGGCAGTCTGGAGACTTGCTGAGGCCCGATTGCCCGATTGCCCGGCGCTATGAATCGCCTCATTTTGCAACACTGACTGAGAAATAAAGATGTCCACGAAGAGGAACCTAGATCGTGAAGAACGAGAGATTTTCTGATTTTATGCTGCAAAATGGCTCTGGAACATCGGTTCACTAAACTTTCCTTGCATGAGCAGGGAAAGGATATGGTCTCAGGTTCATCACGCCCCAAGAATCCAAATGGTCTGCCATACGAACTCGCTGTCAAACCAGAGGATGTTCCAACTATCCCCGACCCTGGCATCTTCAAATTTACGACACCGATAAGTGTCGACCATGAGCCCTCAAGAAGACGGATGACTCCAGACTTGGCGCTGCCTACGCTGTCGGAATGCGCTGCTCACCTCGAATTCCTAGAGACGCTCTTCATCTTGAGGCAGAAGATCTTGGTTTCGACAGAACTTGACGATGCGATGCAGACTAAGCCTATCAGAGAGACCAAGACCGGTCATCAGGGAGATGAGAAGACGCTCAAGGATGACAAGCTTTGGGAACGAAGACAGGCGAAGTGGCCGAGATTTGTTGAGCTTGCTACAGTTCGCTTTCTTGCGTGGCGAGATCATTTCAACAAGTCTTCGGAAAGAGAGATTACACGAGATAACCTCCCACCTCTTGATATACTCATGGTCTGGCATTCGTTTCTTCTCAACCCTCACATGTTCTTCAATACCTGTTCCAGAGAACCGCTCTTCTCAGTCAAGTTTCCCTGGAAACACATTCATCACGCCATCGATAATACAGAGTGGGCTTTCACTCTACCTCCGGCAGCAGCAGCAAACTATGAAGAAGCATCAGGCTTCGCACCGGATCTCTTCAAAGATATTATCTCATGGAAAGATTTTACGTCCAGTACGCTTACGCACATGTCGAACACCGGGTTTGGGGTCACTGGCTATAGGCCCGCGGTCTACCAGAGCCCGTGTATGGAATACTCACAGCTCTTTCGAAAGTGTGACTCGGAATTGGGGAAACAGCTGAGGGATGCTGTTATTCGTCAGGCTTCGTTTGTTGACAAGATGAATTCCTTCATGTGGATTCGGAGCCCAGCTCTGGAGGCAACCGTTAGACGAGCCATTGCGCGTTATCAGAACTTCTGCAAACTTCTCAAGATGTCTAAAACCACTGTTGTGCCAACATTGGATATTGACCTGGTCTGGCATACGCATCAATGCACTGCCAAGTATTACGGACAAGCGATGAAGGTTTTGACAGGCAAGTTCGTCAACCATGATGACACCATTGAGAAACCACAGTTGGGCGATGGCTTTGGAGAGACGAGAAGATTGTATCGCGTGTACTTTGGACAAGAGTATCGTTCTTGTGGGTGCTGGGACTGTCAGGCTCTTTTGACGGAACTTGAAAGGGCTGTGGAGGATGGAACAGATGTGGATATGGATAAGATTACGGCGAAGGTCAAGGAGGATGTGTTCTATTATAGGGCTGTGGAGTGGTCTAGGAGGCACAAAACTAGCTTGCCAAAGCGAAGGGCCTGACATTGAACCAAGTGGAGGATTGTATCTTCTAGTATCTCAAGTATAGGCACCCAGTTCCCTGAGCTCTTCTCTGAGCGAAGCAAAGAGGGCCATTAAAAATCAAACCATTCATGATGATATGACCTTGGCAGTACTGGTCCTTCAAAGCTATCTGACCGCCCTAAGATTTCACAGCCAGCTTTGAAACAGCCCAGGCTATTGATGTGCAATAGCATGAGGTAAGTGCCAAGTTAAGTGAATCGATTTCTACAACACTTGAGATAGATCATGCCTTCCGACCACCATCAAGTGATATCTGACAGTAACAGATTAAGTAAGAAATCTACATTTTAAGAAAACTTGACGTCTACATTACTTATACCAATATGCTGTCACTCAAATGGCAAAAATCTCGAAATTCTTACGATAATCCCATGGTATGTCACGCAACTGCACTGCACTGCCAGCTCATGGAAGATATTCACTCCCCTTGACTGAGATCTAATCTGATCGGGGGATGTCGCGTCACCTGGCAACCAATTCGAGCTGAGGGCCAATTATATTCCGAGAAACAGAAGTAATTGTGTGGTCGGTACTGTGGTGTTGCCCTAGACATTCTAGGTCGGTGCGAGAATCAATTTCCTTCTTCCTTCATCGGCTAAATCTACCACGGTCGACATTTCCACCCTCTTTTCTTTTCCTCTCCCAACTCAAAAATCCCAACCTTTCTCTATCCTTTGCATCTGCATCTTGAGAATTATCCTCTGCTTCGCCTAGACGTACATTCGTACTGGGCGAAGAAGACAGACGATATCCGAATCCTGCTCCTGCACCAAGCTTTAGAGTTCTTCAACATTGCGTGGCCTGAAAACTTTTGCTCAACCCTCTCCGGCTCGAATTATCGACGGTCGGTTCTCCTCTTGATACCAAAGCATGCTTTAGACAGCTTAGCTGACCATTTGCTCTTCACAGGCCTCCCAAGAATTCAGACACATCACCCATTCCCAAGCGACACGCGAATTCGCAAAATCTTCCATTGCTGATACGCTTCACCTTGCCCCACCGGTAAGAATTTCCATATCTGCCTATCTTGCGGTTTCCCGAGCTAACGTTCTTACCAGAGAATCATGGCTGGAGAAGAGGCAACTCATGTGCCGGCCAATCAGGGCACACATATCGCTGAAATGTTGTCCGCAAACCCGCTGAATCTCAATAAACTCGGCTTCAACAAGTATCCTATCCTGCCTTTGAAGCATCTTCCTGCACCACGTGTCAGAGAGATCTACGAAAAGATGGTTGACGACATCTTTTCGGTTGTATCTATGACCCGCGAAGACTTTCCTCAGTGTTGGGATCGATGCGTCGCTCAACTTGAATCAGGAAACGTGTTGTTGGCTACGATTTTTACCGAATTTGAAGGATATCGCACGATCAAGAAGGCATGTAAGAAGGCGCTCCGGATGCCTCGCATGGATGAAACACCTTGCCTCCCTGCCCCAATCATGGTTTCTCTGATCGTTTCTCTTAACTACCGCAAGATAGCCCCCGCCAAGCCTGACAGCTCCATTCTTGAGATTCTTGACGAACATGGCTCTGTGGCTTGGCTCAAGGTTGCCATCCAAGTCTTTGGAACAACCGGCCAGAATCCATTCTTGGTCACGCGGGACAATTCAGTCAACAGCCCGACAACCGAGCTATCTGGTGATATCTGGACTGTCAAAGCAACCATGCCGCCCCCTCACAGATACCTCGCTGTTGTTCATTGCGAACTTCCCATCCTTCGTGCCGCCCCCGTGTTTGGGAACCACTTGGTCAGCGCAACCGAAAGTCCAGATCAAGCCTTGCAACCACTTGACCGCCGTCTAAGCCGTGACGCAGGCGACGCGGTCTACACTATGGCTCTGAACATCACCCGGGAACAAGCTTGTGCCCGAGTTGGTGGGGTAATCGAACAGATGCGAGATCCAGCAGTCAACAGAAAGGCATTCAAGCCTGAGATGGAACTCTTGATGGATTTCTATACCTTTTCGGTTCTTCCTCGGGGTATCAAGATGAGAGTGCATAGCTAGTTCCAAGAGCATTCTCCCGAATCTCAGGATCGTATCCAGACGTTTGAAGGTGTCTTGGCTCAGGATATAACCCAGATCTCCTGGGAACACCAGCTCCCGGGTGAACGAATTGAAATGCAGGACTCAGACCTTGCCGGACCCTCTTTGGCAGTCCTCGCCGACACCTTCAACCAACTCCCCGAGGAAAGTTTGGAGAGGGCCCTCGGTATCGAAGCCCTCAACAACGTGAAGAATATCCTCGACTACCAGCAACGCTCCCGTGACGAGTGACGACTTCACCAAGCTCATGGGAGTGCCCTGCAGAATCGCTGAACCCAACACTTCACTCATTTCCCATGAGGCCCTGGGCTAGCACAAAGAAGTCTAGAGCATTTGCTCAGGCTATACCAGCTCTCAAGCACTTAAACGTGCGTGGCGCTACTGTTTTTACGTTGAGTTCCTTTCACAGTGTCTACACACCGATCGCTTAATAAATAAAAGTCTTTCTAATGAGACTCGCATTAATACATGACAGTGAAGCTTTGTTTATCCCTTTCCCTATAGACTCTGAGAATCTCGGGGATCTTCCTATTATAGATCATATGCCCTATAATTGCTATAATAACCAGTAAAGGAAAGTAACTATAATAAATTTATATTTAAAACTAAAAAAATAAAGTAAATTAGTAGTTATTTTTATAAAGGTAATAAATAAGTTAATAGAAATGCTATATACAACAGCTTTCGAATTCACATTGGCAATGCTCTACAGTTTGAACGACTTTGATAAGGCTCTCAAAAACGCGACAGAGTATGTATCCATCACGTATGCTAAGCCTGAATCCGCAGTGTTCCAATCTACGAGATTTGGTATCAGGCCACGAGATCTGAAGCTGCAGCAACTGTATTTATCTTAATCCTCCTCTGTATTGCACTCATTGCTCTAAATGCATGTGTTGAGTCTAGCTCACGTCTCACCTCGTCTTTCGCACGAGACAATGCACTCCTCGGATCCTGCTTCATTGGCCAAGTTCACCCGAGACTACAGGTTCCTGTTGGGGCCCTTGTTGCTAACTCGGCGGTCATCTTCGTCATTGGCTGCATCTATCTGGGATCAACCTCCGCTTTCAATGCGTTCATCGGCTCCGGTCTCCTCTTGCAGCAATGCAGTTTCGCCACGCCGGCTGCGTTGCTTCTTTGGCACCGTAGAGCTGAGGGTGTTCTTCCTCAATCTCGAGCTTTTAAGCTTGGTGCTTTTGGATGGATTGCCAATCTGAGCACTGTGTTCTTTGCGCCGCTTATTACTATCATGTACTATTTCCCTGTTGCGCTGCCGGTCACAGGAGGAACAATGAGTAAATTCTGCTATATCCCCATTACATCAAGAGGTGACGAGAGGGCTAATAGATCGAATAGATTACACAAGCGCGGTAGTAGGTGTTATGACTATTTTTGCGGCTGTGAATTGGTTCTTAAATGGTCATAAGCACTATAAGGGCCCTCGTCTTCCGGCCATGTAGTGTCAATGCCTTTCTTGAAAGAACGAGAGTTAAAAGAGTCCTAGTTTCAATGCAATCTCATTCCCCTACAAGCGAGCTAGATGTGTGCATTTCCCCCTGTGCGATAGCGGCCACCCCCTGGCTCTAAGCTTTGCTTTTCAGGGCAGCCAATGCGTCTACAACAACCTGACCAATATCCAGGAGCTTTTCTTCTTCAAAACGCTGACACTCTATCTGTATACCAACTGGAGTACCATGATATAGCTCAGGATCGTCTAGGGAAGTTAGTTATACAACTCTCAAAACAACATCCCAGACTTCACTTACAAGACTCCCAGTTGTCTCGATCATCATCGCTTATTGGGGAGTACGTATCGTCAAACCTATCAATGTCCATCCGTGCTCGTGTGACGGGAATGACTAATGTGGTATGATCAACCACGTTTGATGCGCCAATATAATCTAAATAGGCATTAGTATACTTATCATGAGTCGAGTAGGGCGCCATACCACCACCAAAAGAAGGCTTTCCTGGTATTATTGCCGCTGAGCTCCAGACTGGAAGTATTATTGCATCCACTGGTCGGCCTAGAGAAAACTCAAGTCAGAATAACCAGAGGACGATTTTACTATGTATTTACCTGTACAGGTAACTTTCGCAGTTGACTTCCAGTAATGGCGATATTCCAGCTTGTACTTCATTAATTTTTGAACTTCCTTTTCCACTCTAATCGCGCTCAGAGGAGCGTCAGGTGCACCATCAGGATAATCTTCTTCAAGTTCCGGAATGATAGGCTCGCCAGAGAGGGCCAGGTTTTCGAAGATATCATAGCCACCATTCGCGTTCATCAGGGCGTTCTGGTTGTGTTAGAGCATTAATAAACTAGACTGTTAGCAACTTACTTGGATATCCAAGGCTCTCGAGTAGGCTGGCGGCTGCCAGTCGATGAGATCGTGACCAGCAGCATGAAGAGCTTTCATAACCATATCAAGCCCACGCTTGACCGGAGGGTGGGGCATGATGACCCCATCAAATTGCATAATTCCAAACGAAAGTTGCTTTTCAAGTCCGACAGTGTCGTTCCATGCAACGGGTATAACATCTGGGTCTTGAAGCCAGGATCGTGATAGTACAAGACTCCTGAGAAGATATTTCAAGGATGCGACCGAAGAACCAAGAATGCCGGGAACCGTCGGAATATTGTTCTGACCAGGTGACTATACTATATTTAGCGCAGTTCAGTACGGAAAGCCTCCTGCGTACTGGATTTGCCACGTTTAGGAACGACAGCCTGCCTGGCGAAGGCTTGATGCTATATACACCGTTGAAAGCTGCAGGTATAGATACGGATCCACCTTAGGATGAATATTAGATGAGTCAACGCACGCTCGAGTCGGCGTACTCACCATTGTCGCTCCCAATGCCGACAACACTTCCTCTCAAAGCTTGAACGGCGCCTTCGCCTGCGCCTCAAGGTGAGCATCTGGAAACAGTAGAGGGGTCTTAATGACAGTTAGCCTACCTCCAGAACTACCTCCAGACGATAGCTGTTGGTTATGGGGGTTGAAGTGATAACCTAGAATGTTGTTATTTGTTTCAGGAGCCTACACATTTTCTTAGATATTTGTCCAATAAAAACAATTTTATATATGGAATTCTTACCCCCAGAGCCTGGGTGAGCGTTGACTAAAAGACAGTTAGTATATCCAGGAAAAGAAATTCCAGCGAAGCAATGAGTCAGTCCTACCTTTGCGATGGTGATAGCTCCCAAACCCTCTAAGTCTTTAACAATCTGGCTTTCTGCAGTCATGTTACAGGGCGAATTCTTTCTGCCCATAAATGTATCTATCCAGCCCACATAAGCCATCGTGGTGTTCATTCCTTTGACGTGGAACTGGTCCTTCATTGTGACAGGTAACCCATGAAGCGGACCAATCGGCTTTTGGTGAGCTTCCCAGTACTCATCCAAGAATTTCGCACGTTCGATTGCCCGGTCGAACCCGATTTGCAGCAAGTTGTGATTCTGTGAGACTTTTGTTAGTGCCCTGCCCTTTTCGCAATCGTACACCACAAATGTGAGATTGGGTGACCCACCAGTTGATGCCCGTAGGCCGCCCTCTTGCAAAAAGCGCTAGTAAGGCTGACGGCTGACAGAGAACCGTTGCCAGTCATTTCCATCAAAGCTGGCACATCCAGTCTTGTAATTCGCCTTGTTTCGGAATCAAGAAGACCGTCAATGAAGTCATCGGCGATGCTGCGTCTTTTTTTTGCTTGTTCTATAATATCAGGAGACAGTTTCCATTGTGGTGGGATTTTTACTAGGTCATGTTGCCTTTTCCGGGCTGCTGTCTCCTGCCATGAGACCGAGGTAGGTAATAAATGTTTCAAGGTCATGGCTAACTGTTACTGCTTCTTGAAAATTTGAGGGCGGAGGGCTGCAAAGATTGCGAATGCTAGAGGAGTTTCAGGTATCTATCGGCCTTACGGGTCGGGTCGTAGCTAAGGTCTTTGGAAATATTCAAGTCAAGAATGCTGCGCCTTTAGATAATACAAAAGAGCCAATTAAGAACAAGATTTATCAACTGCCCGGTAAGGCCTAACCCCGCCTTTCTGTGACCTGCATGCCCCTCTACTGGCAGTGAATAAGCCACCTGGAAGCCTGTGACGTGACGCGCGGGCAAGCATCCGTCATCTATCACGTCGATGAGCAACTATGATTCGCAGTCCTTGCCTGTTTGCCCACGTTCCGACGTTAAGTTTATTGTCGGTGAGAAAACTCGCCCTTTGTCATACTGTATGTACACTTTACACCGAGTGGTGCTCCATAGTCCATGTACCCACTCCCAAAAGGAAATAGTCCGTGCTAGGTATCGGATAATCAGGAACACGGCCCTGTTCAGCCACTATGGCGATATCGCCATCATTGAATGTATCCCCTGCACAACTTGATCGCCGACACGCCGACGTGCCTCTCTTGTGCGTCTGGCTTGTGAAATTGAGTTCCATGTTACCTAATAAAAATACTGGATTAGCATAGCACATCACGTGTCCGAGTTCGGGAAACAGTAGCTCACCATTGCAGTTTACACACTCGATATAAGACATGTTTTGGTTTAGAATAGGGTGAAAATTGATTTCTGAGATAATGACTTATTGTGAGCGTGCTGAATCGTAACAAATTCTCCTTGGTAGCACTGGAGTCCCTCAGCTTTATACCCATTGCTCTCCCAGTACTGTGGGTTGTTCTTAAGCTTAAAATCTTATTTACCTAAGATCAGACATCCTGAGGCAACTCGAGACAGCTTCATCACAATGTTTACAATTGTCCAACCGCAAACGTTTTAATTTCCGGTAAGTATTTCTTCAACGCCGGCGACTGAATAAGTTAACTGTTAATTAGTTGACACAAGTGTATAAATGCTAGTAGGATAATCGTGTGTTAGGCAGCTTAGTGACTAGACATTAGTTGGTGGTCAGCACTTGTTCTCAAACGCCGAATTCCACTAAATTACTCGCCGGTGAGAATTAAATGTCATATGGTTGGCTCAAATACGTTGAGCCTCAGTTTGCAGAAGATGACGGGCTTTTGGCGGGGCATTTCCCTCCCTGCGCTGATTCAGGTCTGCTGAGCTGAGTTGGGGGCCTCAACAGACCTGACCATGCATGTATGGTGTTACGAGTGTCCAGCCTACGCCCACCTGACGTGTCTTGCACAAATTTATTTAACCTTACCAACGTAGTCCCGCATGGCAGGGGAAAAGAAGCTGTTGGCTGCAATCTTTATTATCAATAAACTTTTAAGCTTATATTCTTCAAGTCAGTGTCTCCAACAATATGCCTCCAAATTCGATGACAAACCTGCCTCAGGCAGACACAAGACCAGAGTCTCCCGATCCTAGCAACAGTTACCCCGCAAATTTTAATCCTCAGCTATTGGCACATCACCTAAGCTCGTATGAAACGATCGGGAACCGCGATGGGATCTCCCTTCATGATTCACAAAGTAGCTTTGGCCTGAACGCAGAATATACCGTCGAAGGCTTGACTAGCATCGCCGAAAACGTCAATAATACAGCGATCAGCCAAAACGGAACAATCCAAGTTGGATGCCATGAGCTTGAGCTGTCGAAGGATGTTGTAATCTCTTCTGGAACAAGGCGTTCCCATTCATCGGACACTCTCACGGCAACGATCGGTCACCCCACCCCGTCGCCAACTGACACACCGCCGTCAAGGCCAGAAGAGTATCCTACTATACTCAGTAAAGTCTGGGAGCTACCGCCTCGGGTATGTTACTTGCATCTCTGTTGAGGCCCTGCGGCCTCTAATTAAATGAATTACAGCCAGCTCGGGGCCGCAAACCGAAAGTCAGCTCATCCAACGGTCGGGGATCCAATCGAGTACGTCGAGCAAGTTTGAAAGTGAGGCCACAGCGGCGTGGACCACTGGAGCCCGAGGCAAGGAAGTCGGCGGCTCTGAAGCGACAGCGAAGGTTGGTGTGCGTGATATGCCACTTCAAAAAGGAGGCTGTGAGTCCTCATTCCACATGCCCTGAATTCTGATCCATAACAAGCATCTGACGCGCTACTGTAGTGTACCTATGACTCTTCTGATCAAAATGGCCCTTGTCGAAGGTGTAAGCTGCAAGTAATGCCTTGTGTGCGTTACCGCATCACGGACACGACTCTTTACCGAGAACAGCAAGCACCCTACTACCTTTTTAGCCAGAGGTGGAAGTCCATGGACCTTGTTGACATCACGAACTGGGCTACTGATGAAGTCAGAACTATCGAAATAAGTCTGGACCTTTTACATGCGCCTACCCAGATCAGGGTTCGCAAATTTATTCCACTTCCAGGTGACTTACTGGATGAAACGTGGGTGAAAGACGGGGAGACCATCGTTTACCCTCTCCCAACTTATGCAATAGAAAACATGGAAGAAGCTGCTAATTCGTTTGCGCAAGCGAGGGAGCGACAAGCTTGGAATTACCTTTGGAGCACTGTGGGAAGTCTAGAAGAAGACTCGCTTATTTGGGAAACCTATCTAGCCGCCTTCCGACGCGCAAACTCTGCCCCGGTACGGCGTCTCTTGTTTCTTTATTTATTTCCCCATAACATATTTCAGATGGCACCTAATGGTCGCTCAGACTTTGGAAGAACAGATCCTGCTCTTCACTACTATCAGGCTATGGGTACAATGCCGCATCTCATCAAACCCAGAGCATATCGTTGGTAATGACAAACTCGGAACAGAGCCAATTGCTGATCCCTCAAGTCCATATTACGGAACTGTTCCGATACCTCCAGTCTTGGAAGCACAGCTTGACTGCATCTACTTCACAAAGTTTCTCCGACCACTAAGTAAACAGGTTCTCCAATCTCTTATGAAGCTCATAGAATCAAAGCAGAGAAACTATTGGTACACTATCTACCTAGTCCTTTTCATGCTTCTCCACAGCTGCTCTATGACCACGAAAAGAGATAAAGAATTCGCTGCTTCTGTTGGCTTTTCTGTAAGTAACTGCAATTAGGGGTTTTTCCTGGTGGCTGACTATGCATTCAGGGATATGCGAATCCTGAGAGTATAAAACAGCACAATGCTGGATCTCGGACTCTGCTCGCACATTACCATCTTGCATTAAAAGGCAGTTACCCTTTCCAGTTGGCAATGGAGGGTGACTTACCAGATCATGCTTCACTGGGTGTCCCAGGCCTGGAAGATAGAAAGTTCATTACCAGAACAGCAGAATTAGCAGCTCGTTCGAGTAAGTAACAAGCCCCACGAAAACTCATGGTCAAGCATATAAGGAGACAGCTAACAACCTTCAAGAGCATAATTGGGATCAGTTACGAGAGTCTAGTAACTGGGATGATGAATTTTACTGGATTTCTCAGTTATATGATGACGACTGGAAACCGGAAAAGATGGACTGAACATGCATGATACCCAAGGTGCATTGAAAGATAGTTTCCTTTTTCTTTTCTCTTTCTTTCGCCTTATTCGATCTTACATCACAAAAACATATAAAGAAAAATAGTGTCAAGTATATTTCAATCTGTTATTGCAAGCTTACAAAACATGGTGTCGAGAGTGACCGACTGTAACAACGGCCACAGAGAATGGCCCACATAAAACCAATTACAAAACGAGTGAATCCAAGGGTGTTTTCTCGTTCGTGGGTGCACCTTAATCGCACCTGTTCACTGGAGGGGGTGGTTGAGGGGGACTTGGACCCTTTCCATCACCGCCAGGCTTACTCCAGACTGGTATAACATACTGCTCACCAGTGGGGGAATATTGGACAAAGTGCCATTCCTCTTGTCGCTCTGGATCGTGAAAGACTCTCTCCCAAGCCAGTCTGAGGTCTATCGGTAGTTTCCAACACAGCGACTCATTGTGAAGCCAAAGACGTAATAAGTGGCGATGATGATGGGAAGTATCTGCATATGGGTCACGCCTGTGCATCACGGCCAGATTGTTAATAAATCTTATATCACCTTGATGCATAGATTGTTTGAGTTCGTGCCGACGTCCGATAGCATGCAGGGCGTCTATGGCCTCGGCTTGGGCTTCAGTAAGCCCGGGAATTCCTGGCGTTCGAGGTTCAATGCTTTCGCCAACAAGAATGCGCCTAGAGTAGTTCGTGATGAGCTTCTCGTCTTCCCAGTATAGGAGAGCACGTCGATAATATGGTGGCTCTCGACCATGGCTAGACATCAGTTTCATTACTACAAGACCTGAAGAAAGCATATGGGTGTCTTACGTATCAAACGGCCAATTTGGCTGAGCCAGAACATCGATCAAGTCTGGTCGGCTTTCAGCCAGTTCATTGTAAACAGTCCATGCTGAGCTGATAACTCCGCACCCTCCCATTGGGCCACTGGACAACGTGAGCATGGACAGTGTGTCGCAGACCAGGTCTGTATGAAAAGGCTTTTAAATTAGCAAGGATAGGTGTATGGTGGATGGAAGGTCGTACCATCAGAACTTGGGCATTGTCTCGTTCGACATCTTTGCCGGTGTTGACGACGTTGACTTGAGGGTGTCAGCTGTTACGCCTTTCTAAAGCCAGCGCATCAGTTCATACTCATCATCGTTCCCTGTTGGTTTTGTTTTCCTCTCCTTTCAGCAATATAGCTTGTTAATCCTAGGTAAGCCGTAGTGACATCTGCAGGGCTCAACTGATCCACATTGAAACCTCGCAGTGTTGCAAATCCTCGTCCATGGTACACATCATCGCGAATTTTCAGGAGTGTTTTTTCCAGATTTGGAAGAGGAAAGGAAGACTGGTTGATGTTTTTGTTCATTATTCCCAAGCCTGTCAAGTATTAACAACTGTACTTATAGCTGAGCGTGGCGAATATTAACTTGCCTTTGAATTGTCGCAGAGCATCTATGATCTCAGCATTATCTGACTTCGAGAGACAATACAAAAAGGGAGACTCGTCTGAGAAGTCCGAGCCCTTCCATACTAGCGGTCCATCCAGTCTTTTAGGCCAGCCTGTTGGAAGTTCAGTTTGAAGACCACCCACTCTCAATCTCTCCTGAGTTCGCGCGAGATGTTTTTGCTCATTATACTCATAGCTTATCTCTGCGTACTGAGCGATCTTTGGCGTGGTCTTTGGAACTGCAAACAAACTTTTGGGGAACTTGGCTTGAACACCCGAAGAGTAGTATTGGCTAGCTTTGCCTGTAGTAGTATGCTCTGACTGGCGAAAGCCTTGAGGAGGACCCAGCAGTGGATTGGCGATACTGGGCTCTGTTCGGTCGAACATGGCCTTAACTTTGAGTTGGTTGCAATGGAAGGACATTGGGTGGGATTTTACTTTGCTCCCTCAATGGTGACATGTGTTGCATGTAGGTACCTCATGGTATATATACAGGGTTATGGCCAGTTCACTTCGGATTCCCAGAGCCTGATCGCTATTTCAGCCAATCCTGCAACTTTCCCACTCCGTCAGCCTTAAATACCAATGGTTGGTTATCATTAATCTCTCAGTTGCATTGATTCTGCAAACCCCGCACAATGAATTTGTTCTTGTGACACCCGAAGCTTATACCTCGCCCAATCCGACGACATCGACTCATCATCGCTGCGTGCTTCTGATCACACCGCATCCCCGCGAAATCCACAATGTTGCTGCCTACAGCCTCAGCAGGGACCAACACGAAGAAGTCTTGGCTTCCCGAGACGATCTAGAGATGGCAGGTGGCTAGAAGGATTGAAGGCATACAAGTGTTGAGGTTCTTGCACGGCTTGACCTTCAGCACTATCTCCAGTGCCCGATTATCGCTTCCGCCTAACTCGTTTATGTCTTTTCCCAGTCCTTTTTCTGTCTTTCAGGACCAGCCTTGAACCAATTTCAGGGAGGTGACACTTAGCACTCTTCACTCGATCGGCCCCGTATCGCAAGAGCATTTGCTCAGGCTATACCACCTTTCAAGCACATTAACGTGCGTGGCGATGTGCTACTGTTTTCATGCTGAGTTCCTTTTACCGTGTCTACATACCGGTCACTTAATAAATAAAATTCCTTTTTGATGGAACTCGCATTAATACGTGACGGTTATGCTTCATCATATGTCCTATTCGTGATTGATTGCTCGGACCTCACTGATATTTAGTGTCTTTCTTAAGTGCCCTACCAGCCTAGCTAGAGAAGGAAAGAAAACTCAGGGTCTTGATCCTAAATGATGAGGAGATTTAGGTAATTTTATATAAGTTTAGGATATCTTTAGCTAAGTTTATTTTAATACCTTATATTAAGCTCTGTTATTTTCTTGCTCGCTGAGGCCTACCAATGACGTCCCCACCCTAGCATGTACAGTGCAAATACATGTCATGCAACGAATCGTCGTCCCCGGGCACTGGTCTTCCACCATGTCTTGACTTTTTCTCTCGTTTCTTCTCCTCTCTATGGCTAAGTCCACTATTCGGTTCTAAATGGCAGGTAGTTAGTTGCTCTTTCGAATTTCTTACGACCTTGCATTCATAGTTCTTCTAGAAATTGCAATCTCTCTCCCTGGAGCATTGCGTAACAGAACAGCCCGGAGGTATTAATGTGTTATTTGCAGTTGATACTTGTGGCTGAGAGCTTATTTGTTCTTTGTTGTTGTTTGTCCATCACATCTCACTGACGATAGCCCCATTGTTATTCACTATTGGGGTTCAAGCTTGTACATTTGGTCATGCTCAAGCGGTCTCGGCTGGACTGCAAGTCATTTTAGCCAAACCCTGCCTAGTCATAACAAACTCAATAAATTCTCATTCTTAATCACGAAGAATCGAAATGAACTGCTCGCTATCTTCGTAAAGATGACAAATAAGTTAATGGAAATGCTAGACAGGCGCTCGAGTATTGTAAGATCTATAGTTTCGCGCCCTCAGCCCGTCTCTTCTCACGCTCCTTATCCCTGAGAAGTCGACGAAGGATCTTTCCGCTTGGACTCTTGGGTATAACCTCTAAGAACTCTACGCCTCCCCTGAGCTGTTTATAGGAAGCCTTGTTATCAGCAACATGCTTCATGATATCATTGGCCACTTTCTTCTCATCCAAGGACTCAGCCAAAGAGCTCTTCACTACAAAAGCCTTGGGTACCTCTCCCGACCTCTCATCAGGTACTTGAATCACAGCACAGTCAAAGACATGAGGACTCGTTAGGATGTGAGCCTCGAGCTCCGCGGGTGCAACTTGATGGCCCTGCTAATTGTCAGTATTGGCTGCAACAGCTGGGAAGTGGCTCACATACCTTGACTTTAATGAGCTCCTTGATTCTGTCAACAATCACAATGTGCTCGTGACCAGACGGAGCTAAGGTCACGATGGCTTCGTCTCCTGTGCGGATGTACCTCCCATCTTGGTGGTGTACAAAGGTTTCAGATGTAGCTTTCTCGTTGTTCAGATAGCCCAGCACAACCGATGGGGCTTGAACGAGTAGCTCGCCAGGCTTGTCATACTCAGTAACTTCGTTGCCCTCAAGGTCAATGATCTTGGCTTTGGCACCCGGCAGCAAGGATCCAGAACCTCTTGTGAAGACATCATCTTCGCTTGAAGATGTCACGACAGTTGAAGTTTCCGTCATTCCTGGCTTCTGTCAGTCATTATTTCTTGGATCTTTTATCGCGGATAGACTCACCATAGGCCTGTGCGATTGTCCAATCCGGGTATAGCTTCTTCATGTCCGAAATTGTTTCCTCGCCGAGGGGGGCAGCACCACAGTAGACAAATTTAACGCTACTCAGGTCATACTTGGCGCAAATATCCTTGAATCTTAGGACTTGAATGATAATCGGCGGGACCTTGGAGGACTGTTAGTACTGATGATACGTGTCAAAATTGCAGGTGAACTAACCACCAGCAGTTGCCGAATCTTGAACTCCTGAACAGACTTAAGGAAGTCGTTAAACTCAAATTTTGGAAGCACAATGACTTGGTCACCTCGCCACGTGCAAGTATGAGCGCCAATAACAAGGCCGTAAATATGAGAGAAGGGCAAAAATCCTGTCACTGCTTGTGTTTCCACGCCCTTCTTCCGTCTGGCGACAGAGTCGTAAGTGACATGCTGTAACACATTCGAGATGACGTTCCTATGAGATATCATCACAGCTTTCTGTATGGTATTAGCATGTTCCATAGCTAAGAAGGAATGGTCTTACTGGTAAGCCTGATGTTCCACTTGAGAAGCATAAAAAGGCTGTCTGTCGTGCACCTTGACCTTGAACCCATTGGAGCTTCTCGAGTTCTGCAAGTTTGGAACCTTCGTTGATAAGATACTCTACTGAAGCATGTTTGAAACTTGAGGTGGGCTCAGCTCGCGGGATGTCGAACAGATAGATATTTTCATTCGGTATGCCGACGTTCTTGGCTGCCTCGAGTGCTACCTCAAGTAGAGGTGTACAAGTGACCAGAGCTTTGGCCCCTGATGCCTTGAGTTGATGGGTAAGTTCATCAGAGGAATAAGCAGCATTGGCTGGCGTGGCTATGCCGTTGAGTCGGTGAACACCGTAGATGGCAGTTACGAAGTCAATCTGGAATCATGTATTAGATAGCTGTCTTTGTATAAGCTGGCATATACGTACTGTGTTCAAAGAGAATATAGCCAAAACCTTATCCCAAGGTGTACCCTCATTCGGCTGCCATTGAAGACGCTTTGCCAGAGCTCTTGCAAAGGACTCTGACCGTTCGAAAAGTTCAGGTGCTGAGTATGAACGGCCAGTGATTCCACAGGTAAATGGATGTCTGCTCCTGGCAATAGGTTGGCGACCATAAGCCTCGTTTCTCATAAACTCAGCAATAGGTATCGAATCCGGAGGATCTTCAATATGTCAGCAACGGGAAGTTTCGTCAATTGAGGCACGCGACTCACCAATTGGGAGCTGAGGCACCCAGCTTGGAGATGTAAACACCATTTTGATACGAAGCCCTTCTTTTTCGCACCTTCAAACGCGTTTCGCAATGTGATAGGTTAGAATAATATCGAGACAGCCAGAATGAATTTCTTATTGAAGGTCATCGGCAAACCAGCGAGTCAGCGACCTAACGTCATGAAAACAAATTGTGGTGGAGTTCTTGGCGGAGCTACACTCTTATAGGAAAACCGAGAGCATTGCCATCTCGAATAGCGGCCAATCCCCCGCATTCTCCAGATTATTACAAGTGGATTCCTAAGCCAACCATAGGTTCTCGTTGCCTCGGAGAACCTCGGTAGAAAATCCTACCGAGACGCGTCTGTATCTAGGAAGGGAAACCGAGCTGGCTACAGCTCTGGGAAAGCCGAATAGTAGGATTTGATATAGGGTGGATTACTGCGCCCGTACTCCATCCAGTGAGGAGTATCAAGATTGATCACCATATTCAGATTATCGACCAAGATTCACTATGACTGTTACGAATTCCGAAAGAGTGCCGGCAACCATGTTTGCGTGGAGGAAGCACAAAGGAAGTCCAAAGCCGGTAATGCGAACTCTCGATTTTAACAAAGTAATACACTGACATATTCGAGGTTTTTGAAGAAGTACCCGTTCCCAAAGTGTCACCAAATGGCATTCTTTGTAAGATGCTGGCATCTGGCGGTACGACGAACCCTTCCTGGTAGTTGACTAAAAGCTGACCAAAATAAGTTTGTAGAAGCGACCATTCTCTACTCACGATAGAAAAGCAAGCCTCTTGGTTTCAGGAAAAGTATATCCTTGGCCACGAAGGTTGCGGACAGATCATTGAAATTGGCAGCAGTGTTCAGGACAAAGGACTGAAAGTGGTAGGTGACATTCTTCAAATCTTGCGATTACTCGGTGCTGAACGGTGGACAGGGAGATATTGTGGCTCTTCATGCTGTTCCTGGTTGCAACCAAGACGATTGCCCTGAATGCTCTCGCGACCTAGCTCAACTTTGTGAAAGAGGCCACCACTCAGGTATTGGCCAAGATGGCTTCTATGCACCTTATACTGCTGTGGATATTAGAGCTGCGGTGAAAGTTCCAGATGGCGTCAGCCCGGCAGAAGCTGCTGTAGCCACTGACGCCGTGAACACAGCCTTTCATGCCATAACCAGGAGGGGAGAAGTCAAAAAGCATGAGACGGTATTTCTCTTTGGCCTTGGCGGCCTAGGTTTCAATGCTCTACAGATTGTTCGTTATATCGGAGCAAGAGTGATAGTTTCCGATATTCGACAAGAACTGCTTGATGAAGCCAAAGCGCTGGGTATACCTGAGAAAGATATCGTTCCAGTGGGAAAGCCTCCGCAAGACTTCATCAAAGAGAATGGCCTGGAAGGAAAGATTGACACTGTTCTTGATTTTGTTGGTACCCATCAGACATTTGAGGATGCTCAACATATCGGTAAGCAAATAACTTTGTTTGAAATTCGTCAAGCTTCAACTAATATGTGTTCCAGTTCGTCGTGGCGGCAAACTTCTTTGCATCGGCAGTCTTGACACGGAAAATACTATTCATATGAAGATTGGCACCAGGAAGAGGCTCTCTTTCATTTTCTCCTACGGAGGTCAAGTTCGAGATCTGGAGAAGGTTCTTGAGCTTATTGCTTCTGGTCATATCAGTCCGCGAGTGGAAACCAGAAAGCTTCCAGATTTTGAGGAAGTGCTTGGGGCATTGGGTGAAGGAAAGATCAAGGCGAGAGTGGCATTACTACATGACTAGCCTCGCCTATGAATTCAATTGATTTTTCGATGATGAACATAGTGTTTCTATTTTATTCACCGTGTATTTTGTACTGATCAGCTGAAAGGCGATGGTCTATGGCTTTCTTGACTGAAAGGAAGGTTATATGGGTCTTTGATCTCTCCATCATCGTGGATCTTGAACTACTCTCACAGAGCAATATACCTGACATTCTGTTGGAGTGCTGGCAACTAAGGTATCATAAATTATTCTAAATTATCATAAATATACCTAAATATACCTAAATATACCTAAATCTTTTCATCGCTTAGGATCTGAGGTCCGCTATTAAACTTAAACCTTAGTAGAGCTCAAATTTAAGTCATTTATAGACTCAGTTGTTAAGGAAATCTATTTGAGCCGCAGGTTCCTAACAGAAGATTGGGGACTTGTCATTGATTTAAAGTTGATTCCATGTGTAGATATTTGGTAATCTATATCAACCATTAACGCTTGCGCCAGCAGGCAAGCTAGTTCCAACAGCAGCAGTTGTCCCAGCATCAACTGGCAGAATAGCTCCCGTAATCCATCTTGCGTGGTTACTCGCTAGAAACACAACAGCACAAGCAGCATCCCAAGCTGTACCCTCAGTTCCAAGTAAACTCCTTGCCTTTCTCGCTTCCCTGGCTTCTTCTGACATGCCCTTTGCGTACATCATTGGGGTATAAAGCATCTAGCAAATTTTAGCGCAGTCCCCCTGCTCTCGTAGGTTCATAACTTACTCCGGGACAGACACAGTTCACTCTGATGCCGTCTTTGGCGTGATGAGCTGCCATGGCTCTCGTCATGTTGACGACAGCTCCCTTTGCAGTTGGATACAAGAGATGAGGTGTACCGCCTTTCAAGCCGGCTACACTCCCCATATTGACGATAGACCCTTTGATCTCTCCATCGTTCTTGGCTATTGCTGGTATGGCGTACTTTGCCATCAAAACCATGCTTGACACATTAACCTCAAGACCCATCGTCCACTTGGCCATATCCACGTCAATGGCTGTCCCTGAAGCTCCAGCTATGCCGACATTATTGACGAGAATATCCAGACGGCCAAATTCCGTCAGTGCAAGGGCAACGGCCTTTTCGCAATCGTTTGCGTCTGTGACATTTCCTTGTGCTGGTATCGCCTTTTTGGAAGCTGCGCTTTCGTTGGCCATATCAGCTGTCTTTGTTGCCCATTCTAGATCCTGATCAAGGCATATCACATTGCAGCCCTCGTTGGCCAACATGATGGATATCGCTCTTCCATTACCAATGCCATCTCCAAAGCAGCCAGCACCTGTGACGATGGCGACTTTGTCTTTGAGTGAACGAGACGGAGGTTGAGTGGGTATCCCGGCCATGGTGGTACTTTTTTTGATCTCTTGTTTTTTTTTGAAATGATACAATTAATCATCTCATCTCACAATATTTAATCCTGAGGTTGATATGGAGTACTCCTTCCTCCGGGACTGTTGGACGGCTTTCCCAATTGGGTATTGCCAGAGCCTAATACTCTATTTTAACCTCATTTTGTGGGGTCGCGCCGAGGTACGACGGAGGGAATCACATGGCGGCAGCCAATTACGTGCTCTGAAGCATGATACCCCTCAAGTATGCATTTCCATGAAGCCAATAACTCATTGAGATTGAACAATATCAAGAATTACCAGTTGAAACACCATCAAATCTATCATCATGTGCGACTTTTCGGAATATGGGCCTAAATCTGCCGAATGGCTTGCAGTAGAAGCAAGCCTCCCGCCTCCCCCAACCTTCGCGGATATCTATGAGAGGCAGGCCGTAGTCAACAAAGGTCGTGAGGAGATATCCGCGAATGGCATGAAGGAGTTGGGTCATTTGGTCCGCATGAAAGACTACAAGATTCCTACGAGAGACAATTCTTTCATAGAAGCGAGAAGCTACAGGCCTGTCGATGCTGCAGATGACGCTGTCCTACCGATCTACATCCATCTTCATGGTGGAGGATACCTGTTCGGTACTCTCTCATCTGAGGACGCCATCTCCTCGAGAATTGCAATCGGTGCGAAAGTTACGGTTGTCAATGTGAACTATCGTCACACGCCGGATCATATATTCCCTACAGCTTGGAATGATGTCGAAGATGCCTTCTACTGGGTGCACGATCACATCGATGAGCTTCAAGGCAAACCTGAACAGGTTGTCATCGGCGGTATCAGCGCTGGTGCCCAGTTGGCAGCCGCCTTGACTTTGAGACAGAACGTCTCTGCACCAGATATCCGCCAGTATCCCAAGATTGCCGGACAGATTCTCATGATCCCAGCTTTGGTTCACCTCGACCATTATCAGTCGCAACTTGACCAACTCACGAATCCCTTGGTGTCTTCATATGTCCAGAATGAAGACGCACCGATCCTTCCAAAAAAGGTCATCGATTTCTTCACTGGAATGCTGAAGTTCCCGGTTCCTTTTCCAGATGCTGATGATTTCCGAGCAAACACTGGAAACGCATCGGTATCTCATGTGAAAGGCCTTCCTCCCACTGTCTTTGGCATTGCCGGCGCCGATCCTCTGCGGGACGAAGGTCTTTTGTACGGCAAGAAGCTTGCCGAGGCAGGGTAAGTCGGCAGCTGTCCGATGTATCATTGTAACAACTAATATGAAATGATTGCAGTGTCCCCACGGATATTCATGTCTTCAAAGGGTTGCCTCATGGCTTTCGTAGATATGGGGCTCAGCTAACCGAGTCTAAGAGATGGGACAGAGTTATGGAGCAGGGAATTATATGGGCACTCTCGAACCCTGAGGCTGGGCAGTTTGAGGTTAAAACTGCTTAGCCAACACGCCTTGTCCACCATAAACTTGAGAGCCTTCGAAAATATGAACTAGATAGATAAGATACACAATAGAAAATATTCCAATGCTTTGTAAGCTGGTGGTCATACATAAGATGTCCTAAAATACTCTAACTTATCCTAAAGCATCCTAAGCTTTCCAAAGTTTAGTAAAGGTTTCAGCAGACAATCTGCCTATCATCAACTTCAAGATGAAGCTACTCAACCAACTAAACTCCCTATAACACTTCTCGGGCCTTGATTTCATCAAAAAGTATCATATAATAATCACATGTAGATTCTAGCAGACTCCATCCTCAAGCGTATCTTAACATAAAGTCCGAGTAATCCCTCCCCTTGACCTCATCACACCTCTTTCGATACCCTGGTGCAGGACCATTATATCTCGTCATGGATCTCTTCTGCTTATGAGCCAAGTTCTTGTTGACGCCGGTCATCCACGAGTCAACTTCATTGGCTAGTAGACCCTTGCCGCATTCATGTACATGCTGCGTCCACTCCTCCATTCCCTTGTCGGTTGCTTCAGCACTGATGATTTTGTTGTCACGAGCATATCGGATAAACTCGGCGACCCAATTTGCTGCATACTCAATAGACCTAAAAGTATCTTGTTAGTACTGATGGTAATAAGCAAAGTTGATGAGCATACCTAGGAATGTTTCCAAACATCTGATGGGGACCCATAATCATAAACATATTAGGGAAGTCCTGGACAGTAAGTCCCAAGAAGGTCCTGATGCCCTCAGCCCAGACATCCTTCAGCTTCGTACCATTGCGGCCTTCAATATCAACTGCATTGAAGGAGCCAGTGACAGCGTCAAAGCCAGTAGCATAGATAAGAACATCAAGCTCATAAAACGCCTCTCCAGTTTGAACGCCAGTCTCTGTGATCTGAGAAATCGGGTCTTCTCTGATATCGACCAACTTGACATTTGACTGATTGAAAACCTCAAAGTAACCGCTCTCAAGAGGAACTCTCCTTGTACCGAACCCATGGTTCTTGGGGATCAACTTCTCAGCCACTTCTGGATCGTTGATTCTTGCGCGGATCTTGTCGGCGTGGAACTTGCTGTAAAGCTCGTTCGCCTTGTGGTCTGTAAAGACGTCTGCGGAGACGCTGAGAACTTTGGCGAAGCCGGGTTCAGCGTAGAGCTTCTCCCATTGCTCTTGGCGCTCCTCTTCTGTCATGGAGAAGACGCTCCTGCTGTCACCGACGTGAATGAAGCATGCGTAAGATTCGGCGCATTTGCGGAAGATTTCTGGGTATCTTGTACGGATCTCATTCATCTCCTCTGGGCTGATCTTCTTGTTACGAAGTGGAGCTGTCCAGTTTGGTGTCCTTTGGAAGACTGTCAAGTGGCCGACTTTGTCTGAGATGGCTTGTATCGTCTGAATTGCTGTTGCACCGGTACCGATAATGCCCACTCGCTTGCCGTTCAGTGCGGAGGCATCACTTGGCCATCTGGCTGTATGCCAGGCTTGTCCCTTGAAATTTTGAACGCCGGGAATATTTGGTAAAGTTGGTTGGTTGAGAATGCCCATGGCGGTGATGAGGTATCGACATGTGTATTGCTCGCCATCTTCTGTTTCCAGCAGCCATGACGAAGTATCCTCTTGAAACTTTGCTGATCTCACGCGTGTGTTGAATTGCATATCACGCTTCAAGTCAAACTTGTCTGTGAGATACTGGATATACCGAAGCGTTTCTGGTTGGGGAGCAAAGTGCTCGGTCCAATTCCACTCATCGAGAACTTCTTGTGAAAATGAGAAGATGTATGAGTAGCTCTCTGAATCAAACCGAGCACCAGGATATCTATTCCAGAACCAAGTTCCACCCTCCCCGGAACCAGCTTCGATAACTCGTGTCTTCAAGCCAAGTTCCCGCATGCGGTACAGGCTGAGAATACCACTAAGCCCAGCACCAATGATAAGAACATCATAGTCTAAGTTGCTGTCTGGCGACCCAAAGGCATCGCCGCGAATTGGCTGTGCTGAAGGCATTGCGAAGTTGTGTAATGTTGATAATAGGGTGGTTGCCAGATAGAGAAGTGGCGTTATGCTGAGGTATGACAAAGTTTTAAAGCTCGATGAAGGTTGCAGCACAATTGGATATCTGAGGGTTACGTCCGGCGAGTCGATTTATGCCCGCGGGGCTATTCTCCTCTGTATGCATTCCAGGGAGTCCTTGTTCGACCCCGCACATCCGGGGGCTGATGGCTGGGGTATCGTGTAGCCGAGAGCTAAAAAGTTGAGGCTATTCCCGCCTTCCCCAAATAGGATAACCAGCCATTGCCGAGTCATTTGACATCGCTTAACGTTAGCCTAATGGCGTCCGATGCTCGGACACGGGGTTGATAAGAAACCGAAGTTTTTAAGATGATGGCTTGCCAAGACAGTAGAGTCATAGTCCAAAGGGAGCTTGTGACACCTGTCACCATTAGCAACCTTCAGGTCGGTTATCCAGATAAAAGTTGCCCGATCTTGAGTGAACGACGGCTACTTCACGGTGACTTCTCAAAGTAAGATAGCTCAAAATATAGTCCAATTCAACTCTTCACTAGTTAAGCTGTTATGATCTAGTCCTTTCGTCCTAGTCCTTTCGGCTTTCCAGTAAGCCCTCAGATTCCCAGAATTTCTCCAGATCGCGTAAGAAAGCCCACTTCAACCCTTTTCCAAATCCTCTTTCTTTCCAATCATTCAGACTCTTTGGGAAGTGAGGAACGCCATCGCGGACTGTGGAGTCATGAGCAACAACCACAAAGATATTCTCGTTACAGTCTAGTTCCTGCAACTGTTTGGTAGTCTTCGAAGCAAGCTCTAAATCCAAGCCGAATGTCAAGTCAAATAGAGTATCGGTTGGTTCCCTCCCTCGTGACTTTTGCAGACGTGCAAAGGCTTCACCGGGGCAGAGAGCTCCGTCTTCATGTGGATGACATGGATGAGGACTGATGGTATCTGGTACTGGGAGAAACTTGGAAGGACGAAAGATACCTGCGTAGTGACAGACATCTCCGCCCATCAAGATGAAAGTATCTGGGGAAGTTGTAGTCCGTGCCAAGCCACATAGGTGACCAACGGCATGCCCGGGACTGTCGAGGAGATAGAATGAACCGTCTCCAAAATAATCAAACGCGGGGAACTGACCAATCTTGAGAGAGTCTGGGCCTTGGAAACCAATCTCACGCAAATTGCGATTTCTGCCAATGGTAAGCTTCCATAATCCACATACTTTTAGAACTATACGCACGCGTAGTCGCTTTCTTGGATGGGTGAATCTGGGTTTGCCGGTGCTCCTGGCAGCATTGCATCTTTGAAGCCCGGTCCAACGACAAGATCTGTAAGATTGGGAAAGCTCGAAGGATCGCCGATGTGATCCCAATGCCAATGACTAGAGAATTTAGTAACTTGTGCTAACAGATTCCTGCGGACGGTTGGACTGACCTCCATATCACGGCCTCAATCTCAGTCAAGGGCACACCATTTTCCTGCAAGATATCCGCCACATTCCCCGCTACTTCAATAGTGTACTTAGTAGTCGGCAAGTACTTGACAATAGACGGTGAGTAATTGTTGAAATCCTTTCGAATTCCTAGATCAAACACTAGCTTCCTGCCAGACTGGTGCTCAATGAGGAACGATAATGAAGGAGAACTCTTGAATGTCTCAAGGCCAGGAACAGCTGGTGCCATGAACCTCTCAAGAATAGCTGGACCAAAATTGACAGGATTAATGAGCTTGACAGCTTTGATTGCCTCTCCGGAAGGGATTTCAAGTTGCGGTGCTTTCTCCATGTTGTTGTTGTTGGATGTGACTTGAGAAGCTGCTAGACCGAGACAAACTTGCTGCTTTTACCAATAGTTTAACTTAAATGTTCTTAGGCTCATAACCCCACGTTGAGTCAGATTCACAATTCCCCAGATGATCAAAAGATTTTGAACTGTACAAGCTCACGCGTCAAGGATGTCACCCCGCAACAATAGCGTCGGGTCCAGGCCATCGGCACAATGATCGGCAAACCAAAAGCAGAAAAGCCCGCCAAGCCTATCCAACAAACAATCCCACCCCGGACTCTACCCCAGAATTTTACCCCGTACCATCCAGCGCCAAAGCAAGATTGCAATCAAGATAAGTATCGAGCTCCGATCCACTCGAAATGCTCCATCATCACCATCATCATCACTCATCTTTTAATCGACAATGTCTGATTCTGAAAAGGGCGCTGCTATCAATCATCGAGAGGAGGCTGACATGACTCCCAAGCAAGGTGTCGAGGTTGACACCGTCCATCAGGATGAGGCGATGAAAGTCCTTGAGGCGTATGCGGGTGATGAGGCCTGGACTGAGGCGGAGGAGAAGAAGTTGCGCCGCAAGATTGATTGGAAGCTCATGCCTGTTCTTTGTGCTACATGTAAGCTGCATGATCGTCGGTAGGGGATGCAAGCTAACGATATACAGACGGACTGCAGTACTACGACAAGGCTATGTTATCTCAAGCTGTATGTATGATATCTCCAAGCTTCAAGCCGTTGCTAACATGTAGTCTCTAAGGCTTTGTTCGGACTTAGAGAAGATCTTGGTCTTCTCACCGGAGATCGATATTCCATGTCGGCTGCCATTTTCTATCTCGGTTTCATCATTGGAGCTTATCCAGCCATGATTCTCGCACAGAGATATCCCATCGAACGGGTTGCTTCCGGCATTGTCACACTTTGGGGTGTCTGCCTCATCTTGACTGTAGTGTGCAAGGACTACAAGACTCTCTATACTCAACGTTTCTTCCTTGGCTTGCTGGAATCCGGTATTTCTCCCATGTTTATGATGATTGTCGTAAGTCTGCCTCTCTCATACAAGTTGGGTCTTTACTCAGTCTTTGCAGGGAAGTTTCTATAAGAAAAACGAACAGGCCATGCGCATGGGTATCTGGTACTCTTGCACCGGCTACGTCTCGATCATCTCCCCTATCATCAACTACGGATTCGGTCAAATCAACGGAGGAGTATCCTCTTGGCGCTACATGTACTACTTCTCTGGTGCTCTCACCATCGTCTGGGGCATCATCCTCGTCTTCGTCCTTCCTCCCGATCCTGTCCGTGCCAAAGGCTTCAACGAGAGAGAACGATATATCCTGGTTGCGAGACTCAAGACCAACAACTCTGGTGTCCGCAACACTCATCTCAAGGTTGCTCAGATCTGGGAACTCCTGCTTGACCCCAAGTTCTGGACCGTCTTCTCTATTGCTTTCCTGTCTATGATTGCCAATGCCCCTATTTCGACTTTCGTTCCTATCATCATCCACGGTTTCGGCTTCAGTACTCTCAACTCTCTCTTGCTTATGATGCCTTGTGGCGCATATGCTGGAACACTTCAGCTTCTGTTCCCCTACCTGGCGTACAAATTCAAGAACAACAGGTCCTACTTGGTATTTATTGCTCAGATGGGCACTGTCCTCGCCGCTTTGTTGCTCTGGCTTCTTCCACTCTCAGCTACAGGCGCATTGCTTTTTGCAGTGTACATTCTCCCATCTGTTGGCGGTGGATATGCAGTTTTGATGGGCCATCAGATTGCCAACACTGCGGGATACACCAAGCGATCCGTTGCCTCATCCGGTCTCTACATCGGCTACTGTCTCGGTAACTTCGTTGGTCCTCTCTGCTTCAAGAAGGGAGACGCACCTCGCTTTGAGCCCGGCTTCATTGTTGTCGTCGTTACTTCCATCATCGCCGGTCTCCTTGCTCTTGTTTACCGCGGTCTATGCATGTGGTCAAACAGCAAGCGCGATAAGTCTGGAACCACCGAAGGGTTTGATCATGCCTATGAGGACGACCTCACTGACAAGAAGGTAAGTCGTCTACTCTCACTCAGAGTTTAATATGCTAACCAGTTAGAACATGCAATTCCGCTACATCCTCTAAGTGTCACAATTTATAAGTGTTTGTTGAGTCTGGCTCGGAAAGGATATAGTCTTGGGTTAGTAGTCTATAGGTTTTAATTTAACGTTTGAATGGAATAAAGTTTGAGCAGCATTCTTTGATATGTCTCGTTGAGATTTCACAAGATTCAACTTTCAAACAATCAATGTTTCTATTCAGTAGTTCACAGCATGCTGCTATCTCTTGTGACGAAATGGTGTAAATGTCTCGGGAAAGCTTACCCTGAAGCAGCGTTGAATTCTGGATAATGATCTAAACATAGGTAGCGTCCTAAATAACGATGAGACTTAGTCAATAACTATCATAAGAATTATAATTCATACTTGATCTTAAGGTATGCCTACCTTAGAAGATGAAACTCGTCACAAAGCTGAACGAACTGCCCGTGTTTTCCCCCACGGCGTTATGGGAGGAACGCGTCAACCCCGCGCGGGCAAAAAATACGCCGAACTTAAATTTCAGTGGAGTGGAGTGAAGTTGCTACAGGCGCTAATCCCCGCTAAAGTTAACGCACCTAGCCCCGCCCATTGCAACTTGAGCCACGACCCTCGGCTTCTAAATCTGGGGTTAGTCTGGGGTCCAGAGTTAATCTCGCCCTGAGCCTGCATCGGCATTCAACCTCCTCACCTAACCTCTCACAACAACCACTTCTCTCATCCGGCAATGACAGAACTCGTCGGCAATTGGCTCCACTTCAGTGCTCGACAGCCGAAACGAAAGCGCGCAGAAGCTGTTTGTTTCTTTTGTCATTCCAAGAAGATCAAGTGCGATTTGCAGGTTGGTCTCCCAGCGTGTTGACGGGCCTGGCTTTGAGCTGACTATTTGCCAGAGTCGGACGTCGCAGGGGCAGGCGAAATGCTCTAATTGTGACAACCAAGATCAAGATTGTCATCTGAGGCCGTCACGGAGGGGTAAACAGCGGAGGAGAGCGTCTACGCAGGCTGAGTGTGGCACTGAGTGCGATACAATTGTCGCCGCAGGTAGGTGACTCCCAGGCATTGCTGGAGCTGTAGTAACATCGAGATTCAAGGTGAAGATGTGGGGGAGAACAATCCAGATCCGCCTGATGCAACAGAGATCGGCTTTGACGACAATGTAATTGACCCAGGGATGGGTGACACGCCAGCGCCTGTGCAAGCGACACCAATTCACGTCGCGTTCAACATACCATCTGCTGAGCGCGCCCTCGATGCTGCAGTCAATCATCCAACCAAATCAAGCACGTCGCCCACAGAAGGAGCTGGTCGCAGTCATGCTGGAGATGTCGACACCGGCTTCCTTCAGATCTACGGACCTGAGAACCAGCTCGAAGCAGAGCAGCAGGAACTTGTCGCCAACCTTGAGCTTCGAAATCCGGCATCGGACCCTCGGCAACAGGAACTGCAACAGAGCTTCTCAGAGACCTACTTTGAATACTGCTATCCATGGTGTCCTGTCCTCGATCCCGATACGCTCGACTCTGAACTTGCGCGATCGCCCATGCTTGCGAACGCACTGGCGCTTGCTGCGAGTCACATTCAACCGCCTTTGATACCGCACCAAGGTCCAGCTGCGTATTACGAGAAAGCGAGGATGATGTTTTATATGGATGAGGAGCCGGACATACTTACGTCTCTCAAGGCAGTGTCTCTGTTTTACTGGTGGGCGCCTCGTTCACCTTCGACGGCGCATCGGCATGCAAGCTGGTGGTGGACAAGTGTTATAATACGACATGCGCAGCAGATGAACATTCACCGCGAGCCGAAACAAGAGAGCGTGGCCTCAAGCGCACTTCATCTGAGTTTACGACGGCGGTTATGGTGGACTGTGTTTGTAAGTTCTCACGCGCCTGCAGTATGAGGCGTACTAACATGTTTAGGCACGAGAGCGATTGACGTCTCTTTGTCAAAGCAAACCCTGCATCATCAACCCCGAAGATATGACGATACAAGAAGTCCAACCATCTGACTTCCCAAGCGATACGGCGTCACAGAAAAAAGGACGAATATTTAAATACTGGGTCCGCCTCGCCGGTATAATGGGCAAGGTTTCTAAGGCACTATCGAAGTCAGTGGACTCGTCTCCGGAAACGGCGACATTTCCTACGGAGCTTAGACAAGAGCTCGTTGCATGGGTTCAGTCGCTACCTCCCGATCTCCAGCTACCAATCGGCTCCAGTCGAACAGAAGGCTTCGACAGAGATGTTCATCAATTGCATCTCCCGTATTTGACAACGATCATTGTGATGCATTTGCAGAGAACGACACCAGACCTACCGCAGGCTCTACCACCCGCAATTTTAGCTGCTTCATGCATAGCGAGAATTCTGAGAGATATCCTGTCGCGTGGAAATGCCCGATTTCTCATGGCCATTACCTGCTGGTATTGCGGTACAGCCTTCATCGCCTTGTTACAAGCAAGTCGAATCAAGCAATTCTCCCAAGAAGCAGAAGAAGGACTCGACATTCTAGACCAAGCAGTCGGCCAACTACAGCAAATGTGGGCTTCGGCAAACGTCATACGACAAGGTTTCGAACGGCTGCGCGCGCTGCCTAGGTCCATGATGCACGCTGGTAAAGGCAGAGCGGCAGGCTCTAATGGCTCTGGGGACGCACCGTCGAATGACTTTGACTGGAAGCTTCTGTTCCCATTTGTGACGAGATCTACGAGTCGGATTGCGGATTGTTTGCTTGCTGATGATGAGTTTGGGACTACAGCGACGGCGCTTCCGTCGCCGGAGAATGCTGTGTTTCATGAGGACTTGCTCAATCGTTATCATGATTTGCTTGAGCCGTTTGTTGATTACAATTTTGACTTTTCAAACATTAATCTTGATATCCTATAGTATTGTAAAGATATTTATTGTAAGCAAATATTATCGCGTGGCGATTGGTTTGCGCATTGTCTTATGCTTTGTTTGTGGTCTGTCATCACAACTTTTTGAACACTCACAACCTCGACACCGGAATATGCCAAGACTGCATTGTAAACTTGCCATGGGATCTATACGAAACTCATAATTGAAGATATAATGCTATCTTAATCTGAAGTACTAAAATGGTATCCTACTCCTCCACCAAGCCTCAACACCGAAGCGTCTCAGCCTTCTCTACATACCAAGAGAGATCGCTCTCCGGATCCATCTCAAATTCCGTAAATCCATTGCCCATGAATCTAAACGGATTGGCCGTGTTATACTCAATCTCAAAGTCCTCCGCTCGAATATCCCCCAGCATGCGATTAAACAAATGTGCACTTCCACCAAACAGCGCAGTAACACGGCCATCAACCTTGCCTCGCTTATACCAACTCGTACAGCCTCCACTCCAGACAAGAGTCTTGTGGACTTGATCGCAGTACTTGATGAAAGCGTCGACCTTTTCCTTCTTGGGGACGACGTACTTGATGTCTTCGGTGGACATCTTCTTGATCCACTTGACGAAGTAGTCGCCTGTCCAGTTGAGGGACTCGACAAGGGAGCCGTGGCCGCCTAGGCAATTGGGACCCATCATCATGAAGTAGTTTGGCATGGAGGGGACTGCGACGGAGATGTATGCTTCTGGGTCTTCTTTCCATTGCTCGCGGAGATCAGTCTTGTTTAGACCGACGATGGGATAGCGGGGACGGAAAGACACATCGAAGCCAGTGGCATACACGACTGAAGAATGGTTAGCATATTACTCAGACGTGACAGGAGGGGAAATACTTACTGACGTCGACCTCATGCTCCTTGCCATCAGCAGTCTTGAGGCCCTTCTTGGTGATCTGCGTAATCGGACTATCCGTCAAATGACAGTTCGGCTTTAAGAACGACTCAAGATATCCAGGACCGGGTGTAATACGACGGCAGCCCAACTCCCACTTAGGGATAAGCTTTGAGCACAGCACAGGATCATGACCAAGCTTCTCAGCCATTTGCTCAGCAGCCAGCTTCATACCGCGCTCATTATTCTCGCCCTTTCGGAAGATGTAGAAAGACTTGTTCGTACGAGAGATAATACCCTTGCGATGTTGGAGATGAAGCTCTGGGTCTTGGAAGCGTGCCTTGTCTTGCTCTGAGTAGCGAGGGTTGGGGTCATCATCCTCTCGGCCCAAGTGCTTTGAGGGTGGAGCACGGTAGTAGACCCAAGCTGGGCCGCGGACGAAGTTTGTAACCTCTGTTCCTGGCAATTTTACCATCTGAGGGACGATCTGGATCCCTGATGAACCATTACCAACGACAGCGATGCGCTTGTTACTGTAGTCATATGAGTGATCCCAGTTTGCTGAGTGAGTGGTGTGGCCTTCAAAGTCCTTCAGGCCGGGGATCTTGGGCCATGCTTCGTGACTGGGTAGTTGATTAGTACTCGCGATTGATAGGCGGGGACATTGAGACTTACACTAGAACTCCTTGCGCAGAGATCAATACGTGGCAGAACTCTTCCCGTTGAATGCCCTCGTGCTCAACTGTGACTTTCCATTGACCTAGATCATCAAGCCACTCAGCGCCGATGACTCGAGTGTTGAGCTGTAGATCACGGTCAAGATTCCACTTCTTGACTGTCGCCTTCATGTAAGACAAGATGTCACCACCACTAGCATAGAACCTCTCCCAGTTGGGATTAGGATCAAATGGGAATGCCTAAACATCGTCAGCTTTATTCGCTACCACAGAAGGACAAACATACGTAAATGTGACTGGGTACATCGCACTGAACACCAGGGTAATTATTCGCCAACCAAGTACCGCCAATATCACTGCGCGCCTCAAAGATAGTGTGATCAACAATGTCCTCCATCTCAGGGAAGCGATGTTGGAACTTGTGCGCCATCAACAGACCAGAGAAGCCAGCACCAATGGTAAAGACCTTGATCTTGCGTGGCGTGTACGCATATTCTTGGCTCAGTGTAAATGGATCTGCTGCGTGACCGTTTGTATGGCCGTTGCTGAGTCCATTCTTGATGTCGTCTAGCTTGGTGACGAGTTCTGGGAGCTCAGTTGCTGGCATCGAAGACAAGTCCTCGGCGGATTGCGCCTTGGTCTCTGGTGACTCAAAGGCAGGCATTGTGACTGATGTTGGGTATGATCTTCGAGGTGTTTGTGAGGTTGAAGTGATGCTGAGGATGAGATTGATCTTGTAAGTCTGTTCAAGGTGTTGTTGAAGTACTCATGATGCTTAACAATAAGGTAGGTAAAATAGCTGGTGTTGTCTTTGCCCCATCAGCTCTACCAGCACTAGTCTAGGCCGGCAAAGACTCAATCAGGCCATCGCGTTAGCATCTCGTGCCTCTTGCGTCTTCATTGCCGAAGTCATCTCCCTCTTTGCCAAGTATGTTCGGCAAAGTTGTTAGTGTTGTTGAAGAATGGTTATCCTAAAGCGGTATTGCCGTCCGTTAGTGACCTGCTGATGCTGAATGCGGGGTTACAGCGATATCGCACAGGGACCGAATCGGCCAAGCTACGCAACGCCGCAACAGTATTGACATACTTAGAGGGAGATAGGGAATAAGAATTGCGTTTTGTCTATTTTAGCTCAAGTTTATCAGGTTTATCTAAACTTGTAGAGATCTTCTAAATTCTCGTCTGATTTGTTGCTCCACAAGATATCGCCACCAATTCCCAAGCACACCAATCTCACTTACACCATGGCTGTCAACCGCTATGCCTACAACGGTCCAATTGACCACACAATCGCCCCTCAACTCGAAAACATTCGAGGAAAGTCGGTGATTATCACAGGCGGTGCCAATGGCATGGGCGAAGCCTTTGTACGAGACTTTGTCGCCGCTGGTGCCTGGGTAACATTCGCCGATGTCAATGAAGAGCGCGGCAAAATAGTTGAAGCAGAGCTCAACGCCGACGGCCAAAAATGCGTCTTCATCAAGTGCGACATCCGAGATTGGGATCAACAAAAGGCTATGTTCGAAAAGGCGAAGAGCTCAAGTCCAAGTAATTCGGTCGATGTTGTCATCGCAAATGCAGGCATTTCCCGAAGCTCGGGAGATAGCTTGTGGAATCTCGATGGTGTGTACTCACTGAACCCTCTGAAAGTTTGGTGGAAGAGCCCTGGACTAACACCACCTACAGATCCCAATGGAGAACCCACAAAGCCTGATTTGAACATCGTCAGAGTCAACATAGATGGAACATTCTACACATGGAAGCTTGCGGTTCATTATTTCCGCAAGCAGCCAGTGAGTGAAGAGCGAGACCGCTGTTTCATTATCACTGGTAGCATGGTGGCTTGGATTGACAGCCCAGTAAGTTCCCTACAAGGCCCTGCTAGATATGAGGGCGCGGGCGCCATTAAACCAGACTTTAAAACTGACTGATATGTAATAGGGCAACTGGGAGTATACTGGAACGAAATATGCGCTGCGCGGCTTCATGAGGACAGTCCGAAGATCAAGCCACGAGCAAGCTATCCGCATCAACTACGTCGCACCCTGTTGGATTAAGAGCGCCATTCGAACTGCAGAGTACGAGAAGTGGCTGGTTGACCGCGGCGTGGAGTTTGGTGAACAGAAAGATGTCTCCAGCTGCATGTTGAGAATTGCTACTGATAGGAGCATCAATGGTGAGTACAAGATCTCTCATTCTTAGTGAGGTACTAATGGCCATCACAGGTCGCTCACTGATGATCACGCCCCGCTCCATCGCAAAGGAAGGCTTCGTAGACATTGACAGAGAGGATTACAAGGACACACCCGAAGATGAGTATCTGAAGAAGGTTCAAGCGTCGCAGCTGGTCATTATCGAGGATAAATGGTTGGACTCATACAAGGTCCGAGTATATAAAGAATAGCTAGTGTCATGAGATACGTACAAAATTAATCTGAAACACGGCGTTAAGAAAAAAAAGATGAGTATAAATGATAGTGCAGATGATGCGAAAGGGCTTATTCTGGCCTTTCACGTAAATAAGATGCAACCCAACCTTTCCGTCTCCAGCATATATGTCCTCAACTATGTGAGAGGCGAAGCGTTCACACAACGCGCTCCATCATTTTGCGACGTCTTCGGACCGTTAATAACAAGAGATTTCTCTCCAGTCTATACATATTGTTAGTAACCCGCTAGATGCCTCTGGCATTGTGACTTACCTCAACGTTGAATCGGTAGATGACCCCAGACGTATTTTCCGAAGCATACATGAGCTTATTACCGACCGAATAAGCCGCTCCCCTGGCCCTCGAATTAGTTCCGCACCCGGATAAGCAATTTAAAGTACTTACCAAAGGTTATCACCTGCGATGTGCCCGAAGTCCTTTATAATCTCCCACGTGAAAGTGTCAAGGCTCCATCTTGCCAGGACAGTCTTCGATGTATTTCCTTGGAGAGCATATAGATAGCGACCTCCTCCAGGTACAGATACCCAATCGGCGCAGTTATTTGCCGACGTCGCGGTCCCTTGTTGAAGAACCTTGCCGTAGGTTGCAGATGTTGGGTTCACATCGATCTTCGCCCACGCCTTTCCATACGTTGAGATCCAGAAGATGCCATCCGAATCTACATCTCCAGTGTTCCATGCTGATTCTTTGTTAGCTACTGTCCTTTTTCAAGTCATATAATGTCGGCGGGCTACTCACTTCCATCAATGAAGGTGTTCATCAGCGTATATGATCCGGTGGAGCCAATCCGAATGACTTGGCTCTTGCCAGTTGCAATCTGGACAATACCATAGATGAGATTATCCTTGATGTTATAACCGATAGGATTAATGGTTCCGCCGTTGGTCGTCCCTGAAGGAGCTCCGGGTCCAACATTCTGTGCTACCAGAGAATTGACTCCTGTGACCAGATTGAGCCTGTAGAGAGTTCGAACTTGAATCAGGTATCCTCCTTCGTCACAGCTGAAAGCTGGAGGTGGTGCTGGCGTCTCCACGACCACGACACCTCCATCATCTGTGCCGGTCGGCGCAATGGTGGTTACAGCTCTGGCTGCATTGATGCTGGATGTTCCTGAGTATTGGCGATAGCTAGTGGACGGCTGAGGTGCAGGTGTCTCGATCACCACGATCGGTCCATCGTTTGCACCGGTCGCTGAGAGTGTTGTTACAGTAATGGGCCCACTCAAACTCGATGTGCCGGTATATCGTCGCGTGCTTGTCACAGTCGCCGGCGGTGGAGTGGCGATTATGACTGTTCCATCTTCATTACCGGTGGGGGTTATTGTTGTGAGAGTTATAGGCCCAGTTAGGACAGAAGTCCCAGAATAACGCTGAGTAATGGTCACAGGAGGGGTCTCAACGATCACAGTCCCTGCTTCAGTTCCCGTCGGTGTTATCGTTGTAACAGTGGTTGGGCCAGTCAAAACATCGGTCCCAGTCCAGAATCTCGTGACTGTCACTGGCGGTGTCGCAAGGATCACAGTCCCTGGTTCAGTTCCGGTCGGTGTAATAGTTGTAAGTATAAGAGGACCAGTGAGTACGTCGGTTCCTGTGTAGAACTGTGTCACCGTAACAGGAGGGGTCTCATAAATAATAGTCCCGTCCTCCGTACCGGTCGGAGTGATAGTTGTTATAGTTATTTGGCCGGTTATTACTGATGTACCAGTATAGAACCGTGTGACTCTTACAGGCGGCTTCTCAACTATAACTACGCCAGCTTCTGTTCCAGTCGGGGTGATTGTGGTGACGGTAGTGAGAGCAGACAGGCTCTCTGTACCTGTGTAGAATCTGGTGATTGTGATTGGAGGAGTTTCAATCACGACGACGCCCGGTTCTGTGTCTGTGGGTGTAATAGTAGTTACGGTAATTGGCCCCGACAAGATCTCCGTGCCTGTATAAAACCTTGTACTTGTAATGGGAGGAGTCTCGACGATGATTGTGCCAGGATGAGTGCCCGAAGGGGATATCGTTGAGACTGTAGTTGGACCTGTGAGAATATTCGATCCAGTATAAAATCGTGTTAGATAGACTGGAGGTGTCTCGACGACCACTGTGCCTGAGACAGTAGCCACAGTCGTTGGACCAGACAGGACTTCTGTGCCCGTATATGGCCGCGTGATTGTTACAAGTGGTGTCTCGATAACAACAGTTGCCGGATCGTTAGTATCTGTGGGCTCGATAGTTGTCACCGTGATAGCAGCTTTGATAGAAGAAGTCCCCGAGTATAGGCGATATCTGGTGACAGGTTGGAGAGAGGGAATCCCAATGATAACGGTTCCATCCTCTGTCGCAGTCGGCGTAATTGTAGTCAAGGTGACAGTCGAAGACCCAGAGTACCTTTGGGTTATGGTCACGGGAGGTTTCTCTATGATCACGGTTGCCGGATCATTTCCAGAAGGAGATAGAGTGGTCACGGTAATCGGCCCGGTTAGGATACTCGTTCCTGTATAGAAACGTGTTGAAAACACCGGCGGAGTAGCCATTACTACCGTAGCAGGAACCGATCCGGACGCTGGGATGGTGGAGATAGCTATTGGCCCTGTGATCAAGGATGTCCCTGTATAGAGCTCGATTACTGTCGTTGTAGAGAAGGGTACATCTACGTAGACAGTATCGGTGTCCCCAGGCATAGTACCTGCTTGGGTGGTAGTCTCGCTGGCGGTCACGCCTCCGTACCTATAGATCGTCGCATATCGTTGCGGGAGGTCTATGTACACATAGGCAGTCTCTCCATCAATTGTCGGCATCTGTGTCGTGATGCTACTTGCTGTAACGCTGCCGTACCTGGTCACAGTTGTATATGGCTGTGGCAAATCGATAATCACAGTTGCTTCTTGACCCTCAACAGACGCAGACTCAGTAGTAATACTGCTGACTGTCACGCTGCCCCATCTGGTTGTTGTTGTGTAAGCCTGAGGAAGGTGCGCAATTACCGTGATGGTTCCACCGATGCTCTGAGGTGTTTGTGTTTCTCTTGAGGGAACCGAGACACCTCCCCAACTGGTTATCGTTGTGTAAGGTTGGGGCAAATTTACAATAATACTGAACGGATCCCCGGGGTTTTGAGGAGTCTGTGTCGTTGTTGAAGGGATGGATATAGTAGCTGCCCATCTGGTTATCGTCGTATATGGCTGGACAAGGTCTAGTATTACTGTTGCCGTTTCCCCAGGATTGGCAACCGTTTCAGTTGTAATGCTGCTGACGGTAACGCTCCCGTATCTTGTTATAGTCTTGTAAGCTTGTGGCAAATCGACGATAATCCTTCCCGTTTGGCCGGGAATAGTTGGTGTTTGCGTCGTGACACTGCTCACCGAAACGCTCCCATAACGAGTCGTGGTAGTGTACGGATCGGGGAGATTAACCAGGATAGTGGCTGTTCCCCATGGCTCTGACGCGGTTTGTGTTGTTGTCGAAGGAACAGAGACACTGCCCCAGCGGGTTATCGTTGTGACAGGCTGTTTCAGACTCACTATAATGGTAATCGGATCCCCGGGGTTCTGAGGCGTTTGTGTGGCTGTTGAAGGGGCCGAGATACTTCCCCATCTGGTTATCGTTGTATAAGGTTGTGGCAGCTGGACGATCACAGTGATTGGATCCCCAGGGATCTGAGGGGTCTGTGTGGCCGTTGTGGGAATTGAGACTGTTGTCCAACGGGTTATCGTCGTATAGATCTCGGGTAAGAAGACGATGACACTGATTGGATCTCCGGTAGCTTGGGGCGTCTGCGTCGTTGTTGAGGGAGCCGAGATAGTAGAAGCCCAGTGCGTTATTGTTGTAATAGGCTGCTTCAGGTTCACAATAACGGTAACAGGATCCCCTGAGCTCACAGGAGTCTGAGTCATCGTTGAGGGGACCGAGATAGAAGTCGCCCAACGAGTTATTGTTGTATAGGCCTGCGGCAACAGTACATCAATAGTCACTGTGTCACCTGGGCTCTGAGGTGTCCGAGTCGTGGTTGACGGAGCCGAGATAGTAGAAGCCCAGCGGGTTATCGTCGTGACGGGCTGTTTCAGACTCACGAGGACGGTCACTGGATCCCCTGGGTTCCCAGGAGTCTGTGTCGTCGTGGAAGGAGCCGAGATAGAAGTTGCCCAACGGGTTATCGTTGTATATGGCTGCGGTAGGAGCACATTAATAGTCACGGGGTCACCTGGGCTTTGAGGAGTCTGTGTCGCGGTTGAAGGGACTGAAATAGTAGAAGCCCAGCGGGTTATTGTTGTATAACGCTGTGGTGAGAATACGATTACGCTGATTAGGTCTCCAGTGGTTTGAGGCATCCGCGTCGTTGTTGAGGGGGCTGTGATAGCAGGTTCCCAGCTGGTTATTGTGGTGACTGGTTGCTTGAGACTCACGATGACGGTAATTGGATCTCCAGGCTTTTGAGGTGTCTGTGTTATTGTGGAATGGGTAGAGATAGTAGTTGCCCAGCGGGTTATTGTTGTGAAGGTCTCGGGAAGGCTCACAAGGACAGTAACAGGATCCCCCGGGTTCGCTGGAGCTTGTGTCGTGGTTGAAGGAGCCGAAATCGTTGCCCAGCGGGTTAGTGTTGTGACGGGCTGAGGTGACTGTATTATAATAGTCACTGGGTCACCAGGGCTCTGGGGGGTCTGGGTTGTTGTGGAAGGGACTGAGATACTTGTCTCCCAGCGAGTTATTGTTGTGAAAGTCTCTGGAAGGCTTACAATAACAGTAATTGGGTCGCCCGGGTTTTGAGGAGTCTGTGTTGTTGTTGAGGGGACCGAGATAGAAGTCGCCCAGCGGGTTATTGTCGTAAATGGTTGCGGCCTCTCGATAACCACAGTCCAAGTCTCCTCAGGGCTTCCAGGGGTTTGAGTGCTCGTGGTGGAGGCTGACACACTTCCATAGCGAATAGTTGTAACATAAACCACTGTTTTCACCACGATGACTGAACCAGTCTGACCATTGCGCGTCGGTGGCACGGTGGTAGTATATGGCACAGAGATCGTGTTGTCAAAAGAAGTTGTCGTGATATACGGTGTGACGCTTGGGGGCACGAAAACAACCACGGTTCTGGTCTGATCTGGCGAGTCTGGTTGCTTGGTAGTAGTCGTCGTGGTGGTGCCACTCCAAGTTGTTGTCAAAGTGACGATGACAGGAGGGACTACAACGATCACAGTTCCTGTCTTTCCGGGGCCTGATGGCGTCTGAGTAACAGTCTGAGTTGTACTGTCGCTTCCTATCACCGTTGTTGTAGTCCAAGCAATCGCAGTAGGCGGCACCTCAACTAAAACTGTACCTAGCCTGCCGGAGCCAGATGGCATTTGCGTAGATGTACGACTCGTCGTACCAGTGCTCGTAATAGTGGTCCAGGAGGTGATCCATGGCAGTTCGACCACAATAGTGTCGGTTATATCAGAGCCAGAGTGCTCTTGTGTGAAGGTTCTGGTGGCGGCCCCTGAATAATAACTGGTTACAGTGACAAGACGTATGGCTGGTACATCATGGTGTATAACTCCAGTCTCTCCAGGTCCGGACGGATACTCTGTCCAGACGTGAGTTGTCAGTCCGCTCCACGTTTTAGATGTATCAATGTAGCGAATAGCAGCGGTTGGGAATAATATTTTCTTGGTCCCAGTACCTCCAGGTCCAGACGGCGAGATAGTCACCGTCCGAACTTCAGAGCCTGTCCAGTACTCGCTGGTGACAACGTAGTGGAGAGAATCTTCAGGATACTGTACCAGGACAGTGCCAGTCGCACCAGCAACAGACGGAGGGATCGTTGTGGCTTTTATTGTCGATCCTGTCCAATATTCGGTAACAGTAACAAAAGGGGTAACATCAGGGGTATAAACAATGACTGTTCCCGCAGCTTGATCGGTAGGGGCGACAGTCCTTGTTTGAGTCGTCGACCCAGTCCAGCGACTAGTTACTGTAACGTAATCCGTTGCGTCTGCTGGGACTTGTACAATGACAGAGCCTTCTCCATTCGGATCAGAGGGTTTTTGTGTAATTGTTACTGTACCTGTACCTGTCCAGGTTTTCGTCGTGGTTATGTACTTATATGGCGTTATTATGACCACAACCCCGGTTTCTCCTGGATTTGTCGGCTCCTGTGTAATCGTCGTCGGAGAGTCGATGTCACTGCCACGGACTGTAGTTGTCATGGGGTTTGGAAGATTGACGATTACCCAGCCTGTGTTAGAGGAGCCGTCGAACCGGGTCGTAGTTGAAGCGGTGCTCACTTCTCCATATCGAGTGGTGTAAATGAGACGAGTGTTGACAGGTGGTAGTTCCACAACGACAGTCCAATCGTCGCCTGCGCGGGTTGGAGATAGCGTGTGTGTGACGGGTACGGTCACGCTGCCAATATGAGACACAGTAGCCCAGCGTGCGGGAGGGACCTCGACTATAATCGTGCCGGTACCATCTGGGTTGCTTGGAGGAATCGTTCTAGTGGTCGGGGCAGTAACTGTGCCAACTCGGGTGATTGTATTAAAGTGAGCGTCAGTGACTGGGATCTCAACGACCACTTCACCATCGCGACCAGGCCCGTTTGGAGTCTGAGTAAACGTCGTCGGAGTTGAGCCAGTTCCATAGCGTGTGACAGTGTTGTATCTGCCCAGCGGGGCAGGTGTGTCAACGTATACGATCCCTGCCTCTCCTGGGTGTTTGGGCGGCTGCGTCGAGGTCACGGTCCAACTCCCTGTGCCAGCACGAGTGACGGTTGCGTATAGAATAGGGTCCGAAGGCACGATGATGTGAACCGTCCCAGTTCCTCCTGAGCTACGCGCAGGTTCTGTCGATGTTACTGGGGCTGTCACGCTGCCGGTGCGGGTGATTGTTATATATGCAGGTGTAGACCCTGGGACTTCGATAACAATGGTGCTAACGCCGCCGGAACTGTCTGGCTGGATTGTCCTCGTGACAGGAGACTGTACGTCTCTGGTTTGAGTTATGGTTGTAGCCTTTGGTTGCCCTACAACAATTGTGGTTCGGTCGTCGACGCGAACAACCTTGGTAACAGGGGCTCCATTGCTCCCTTTCTCCGTGATAGTGGTGTAATACTCCCGACCAACCGTGATTGTCTCTAGATCACCGGAATCGCCCACTTGGACGGTCCTTGTGTGATCAACTTCAACGCCTTCTGTTCGAGTTCTGTACTCAGGCTCTTCGACAATTATAGTGGTGGGATCACCAGGATGATCTGGGGTCAGTGTCCGGGTCCGCGCAGTTGTCAAAGACGAGATGATTGAAGTGATTGTGGTTAGGGGAGTTCTCTTGATGACAGTCCCAACTGGTGGTGTTCCCTGCGGTGGAATTGTGTACGTTGAAGGAGGACCGAGGCCGAAAACAGCAGTGGTAACATATGATGCTTCATGGGGTATCAAAATTGTACTGCAGTTGTCAGTTTGCCGTGATATCTCAGTAAGTAAAGTACCAACCTGGCTAATGTTGTGTCAAATGTGATTGAGCCGTCTACGACCTTGATTGGCTGAACCTCAGCACGTTTCTCGCCATCGGGACAATCAACAACCGGATCCCAGGCAGACGCGAAAGCAAACAACACGAAAAGAACTCCATAAGACTTTGATTTATGCCTGCACATGGTTTTAAGCATATTGTTTAAATGAAATAAGGTGTTGTACCTGCCGCAAGACAGATGGGAGGGAAGGTCACGTGCGAGGGTCAGTCACGAAGCGGACGAGGAAGGAGCACCCTGCTATATATTTAATTGCTAAGTCAACTACTGAAGGAACACATAACAGATTGGATAAAATGATCGATATGTAAGCAGAGTTTAAGGGTATTAATATGGAAAGATTGGTTCTTAGAAGCCTTAGCATTCCGATTGCGTGCAGATGTACTGTGGCGTTGATGGTTCTGGCCTAGACCTCGCTGCCAGATATGAAGATCAAACACCAGCGCCATCTACGTTCTGGAAAGCTAACTGTGGAGTAATTACAGTGGCATGATTCTAGATTTCAATAACAGGCTTGCCTTAATACTAAAGCAGTATCCTTCCGCCACAAGTTCCCATGTGCCTGGATCCCCAAACTCTCCTGCGGGTTTGAGGGAAATTCGTTATCGCCGGATTCCTCTATTGTGTTTCCTATGCACCCAAGAAATAGACATTGAACCAGAACATCAATATACCTCAACATTCCAGGCAGACCACGAGGTGGCTGTTCAACCTGCCAGATAGGCATGGCCGCTGAGAGGTCTCGGCCCATTCCATACACTGAACTTTAAGGTCGATTCTCTTTCTAGAAGATTTCTATGGAGTTGCCGACTGTTTATGGTTCTATTGAAGCCATTTTGGTGTTCTAACATCTCATGAATTGACATAAGTACTCGAAACGTCTCACCCATCATCAAGCCAACCCAGACATCCCAACACTCCTTTCACTTAACACTCAGCCCTACAACACTCCTTTCATCCACATTGATCTAAATAAACACTCTCTTGCCACCACCATACCCATATTCTTTAAATACCCAAACCAAACCGCCATGGTGAGATTAACAACAATAAGCTGTGGCCTGAGCTTCCTATTGCCTCTATACGCACGAGCCATCTCTGATCCTTGTGCTGCAACAACTACTCTGCCTGCTATCACTGTCACAAAAGGCCCTAATGGTTACTACAACCAATACACCCGCACATATCAAGAATTTTACCCTCAAGGCTTGACAACAAAAGTTTACACCATTACACAATCATGTTCAGGCGTGAATTGTCAGCCCTTGCCTATCGAGACTGCACCTCCACCTGGCTTCACATCTGCTGTAGTCAAGTGTGACAAGTGTGGAGGCTCAGGGACCAAGGTCGCTACCTTGACATTCCCAACCGAGTCTGTGCAAGCATATTCATCTTCTGGATATGTTGTTGTACCTATTGCACAACCAACACAGATTCCTCTTGGTAGCAGTGAGCAATCTCATAGCAGTTCAGTTTATGAGAATGGTTCTTCGGGCTCTGATGCTGGTCATGTGCTGAATAACCATGGCGCTTCTCTTTCTACAAATACGACTCCAGACACTGGAGATTCGACTGCACAAGACTCTGGTAGTGGCAGTCAAGGGAGCCAGGATGAATCCAACAACGCAGGTTCTGCAAATGATGGAGAATCATCCGGTACCGGTGCTCCTGGATCTCGGCCATTATCTGAGACACCTACCGCGGGCTATCACTTTGCCCCCTCTAACTCCTCCCCTGCTGGCTCCGAGGGCCAGTCTTCGTCTTCAGCAGACACAGGCTCATCTGATACGGCCGCCGCAGGAGATGATACCTCATATCCCATTCCCAACCAGAAGACCGGCAATCCATATGCAGGTGACACTTCTGGTGCCTCGAGCAACGGATCCGGCTCGTCTGGCAACAACTCCCCCTCACCTCAAAATGATACCCCCTCTACTGGAAAACCAGCCACCAAAGTCTCTGGCGATGATAGCTGGAGTCCCGATTCCCCGATCACTGTTAATAGTGCGGGCCATATCAGGACAAATCTTCTTACATGTGTATTAGCGAATATTGCTGGCATGTTCGTTCTCAGGTTGCTAGTGTAGCAACAGTACCTTCTTGTATCTAGCGTTAAAAGCGATATAATCACAATTAATAAGACACGATCGAGACCATCTGTGGCTGTACATGTCGTTCCACTTTCTCGCGCCCTGGCAAACTAACTGAAGATGACTTAGACACTTGCAAGACAGTGGATCCATCACGGGGGAAGCGACCGTTTCTCGGAGAGTAATTTTGAAGCATATTTAGAGTTTTGCCCCAAGATTTGTCAAATCGCATCGGCTAGCCCCTGCCAAGATCTCACAAGCTAATTCCAAATCCGTATACTTTTGTTGCAGATCAGGAATCTTGTGGCTTGACATTGCTATCTAGCGCTTAGCCACAACACCATAGTCAAGCTCTTTTGGGACGAGAATAGTTGAGACATCGATCACGAGTGACAGAAATATCTCTACAAGGTTAGTATATCACAAGCCAGGTTTAGACTTCGCTGACTACTGATTTCCCGCCAGCTATATCAAGCTTAAGCTCGTATAGCCACAAGTTCCTCTGATGACGGATGACCCGAGAGGCTGGACTTCGGGCTGAATTCAGCCAAGCTACGCGAGCTATTCCTTCTGGTGCTCTTGGACACTACTGAGGTCTAGGGGAGCAAGAAAACATCAGAGCTTAATATAGGGTGTTAGAATAGACTCAGCAAAAGAGATCCTGAACTTATCCTAAGTTTATACTAAGCCTATACTAAGCTTATGTTAAGTTACCTAAGTCTTTTTGTCGCTTAGGATCAAGGTCTAGAGTTTTCCTTCGTCTCCTAGCGAAGCTGCGTAAACTCAAAGTCGGACCAGTTACTCAGGCCCTCGCTTATTTAGAGTCAAGCCTGGTCCTCCATCGGGAGAACAACACTGACGTTCTTGGCAAGAGGCTGCTCCGGCCTCTCGGGCTCGCTTACGGTATACAATAGAACAACGTGGTAATCTGTAAGAAGTTTAAATCACGTTCAGAAAAGTCAGACCACTTTTGATCCTGGCATACAGCCATGCACGGGAGGTTGTTTTTTCAAATGGATGGAATTCTGATGGTGATATTGGTTGCTAAAGGCGTGACCATTCCTCCTTGATGAGGGACATTCTTTAGCTGTATTTCCAAGCTGTATCAAGGCCTTTCTGATATTGAACTGAGGGCTCAAAGAAACTGATATTGTAGCTAACTAAAAATGTACTAAATTAACTTCATTATTTTTCTCACTAATACTCGATGTCCTGCATTCTGTCACCCCTGAGCCCAAAAATCTGTTGAGGCGGCGCCTTCATTATACTCAAAGCCAATAAACCTAATAGCGGGATCTTGAGGCAGATTGTACCAAATAGTAAAGGTGGCCGCAAGAATAACAATGATCGACGAAGAAGACTTGTAAAATTGGTCAACTCTGATGTGCGAGCTCGCTCTATCACGGCGGCCCCCATTCCAGCCTTGCATAGAGCCCATTGTTTGGATATCGGTGTTGCTAAGGTTCACCGAGAAGATAACATTAACCATTCGAAGCCTTAACTCTTGAGTAGGGGCTGGAAGCCATGAATGGATATCAGCGGGCCGCATAGGCAGCAGGGCAATCGGACGATATTGGCTGTCGTGGTGGAAAACTGGCATATCTGCCACATCTGGCGTTCCATTCTTTATGACAAAATGCCTTGTAGCTAGTCGGTCGTAGATATCGAATGCACTCAGGATTTGCGTCTGGTTATGCGCCTTTTCCAGATGATGCACGATGTTATCTGTGAATTCATGGGGTACACAGTGGGCGTCAACGTCACCGAAACTTCCAGCAGCGATAAGATCGTGTCTTTCCCCCATCCTGCTGAGAGCCGCATGGCAGCAATCGAGAATAATAAGTACATTTGAAGGGGAGGGGTCGAGGATCTTATATCTGAGGCGGTCGAAATTAACGGTCGGGTCCGGTAAAGGTGATTTGCGTATGATATCTGATTGCGACCGAGCAAGATGAAGCTCATCACTTCCATGTGAATGGTTTGGAAGTGGCTTTCCCTGGCCAATACAGTGTATTACAGCCAGGCAGTTCTCGTTCATATCCGTGACAAGTTCCTTGAGCGCTGAAGCCAAGCATGCTTCAGGATCAGACTCGGTGTCCTTGATCATAAATGAGACTGCATCGTAGCCATATATCTTGCCGAAGATATCGCAGATGTTATCACTAGCACTTCCGATCGAGGGATTTGCATCTTTATCTCCCTCGAAGTAGACACCGAGAACTCGAGCTTTTGTGTAAGATCTCTGAGGAAAGCTAATACCGGAGTAGAGCTGGCAGACTTGGTGCAGTGCTGCATCAAACTGCCCGAGGCTCATAGGTTGCGGACGTCGCCTATTGGGCAGATTTGGAGTAGACATAGTTATGGTGTGTTTTGGTGTGTGTGCAGAGATGCAAACTCGAGGTTATATCCCTTTTTATGCCCTCTTAGTCCCTTTGTAATGCCCTAGGGCTTGTAATAAGATTTATTGGTCATTATGAAAGCTTCTGGGTAAAAGCTTATATCGGGGGAAAAGGTATCGTGTGTCATTTATTATCTGTGTTCGCAGCCTAAAGCTTAACCTTGTAGGCCGCCGTCATCCATAGTATTTTTTTATTTTTTTTTTTAAGTTTATATATTAGCCTCGAAAGGTATCCAAGTATCTCCAAAGTCTAGCATAATTTAAACATTACTTGCCTCCCTGGTGGCAAAGCTTCATTAAGTCAATATCATTAAAGTTAGCTGCCTTAATCACAGCCTAAACCTAACTGTGTAGGTTTTGGGAGCCTAAAGTCAAAGACCTAAAGTCGTGACGTCGGCGTTCAGGCGGGGACGGAGGGGGCAGAATTGATCACGCGACAAAGCACGTGACCATTTCAATCAGCTAAACATCAGTGCACCATCAGTATAAACAGGGGGTCATCCATAGTATGTTAGGTAGATTAAGATAGCAAGGGAGCTTCGCCTCAACTCACCACAAATTTGATCTTCTTTCTTATTCATATGGCGAGTCTCTAGCTCCTGCATCTCTTCAGCAGTCACATTGCTCAGCTGCTGGCAACAGAGAGACCAAAACTCCGTGACGTCAGTCTTGCTGTTGTGAAGTGCTGTGGTAATCTGCTCCACAGCGGTGGCGATCCTAGCTACAGCGCCTTCAATCTTAAGACAGTTCTCGGCCTCTACCTCATTTTCGTAGTGGAAAGAAAACAAAATGAGTCGGTCATGATGGCGGCCTATAAGTCGGTTCGCCTGTAGTCCGAGTGGGGACTGACCTGAGAGCCGATTGATCAATCTGGGAGCGGCTGTGCAGAACGTGGCGCAGCAGGGCATTTTCTTGGCTCCCTTCCATCGCGGAGATCTTGAGACTTGACTTTTATCATAAGGGTAGAAACATTTACACAATGTGGGCTTCAAAATTTCTCAAGGGTCGAAATACAAGAGCAATCACAAAGACTTCAATCGCAGCAGCTGCCTCAGCGCCAACATCGCAAGCTGAATTCAGTGCCAACTCACAAGCGTTCTCGGTGGCTATGACCGAGCTGCTAGAATGCCTAGATTTCGTGCTTGATCAGCTGGATGATCAAGGTAAAAAAGCTATCCTAGTTTATGTGTAGAATGCTGACAGACGCCCAAAATAGGAGAACATGGAGATTTGTTGCAGTTCCACCTGTCACGGCTTGCCAAGGAGATATCCAAGTACGAAAACTCGAAGGTTAATGAACAAGCTTCACAGCCATGGACGGGGTATGCTCTCCTACCCCAATGTAACCGGCTTTTGGCGATCTAATCGAAAGCTGGTAGGGATCGTGATCTACTTGAGCTACTACTTGCCGCCTGCAGATGCGCATGCTCCGTCTATAAACCAGACATCCATCCTGGAGGTGACCTCGTACCAGTGATCTCACGAACACCTTCTATCACTGGAACAGTCAAAGCAACTTCGATATGGAAGTCAGAAGATACAAATACCTTGTTTGTTTCCATTAGGGGCACGTCTTGCAAGACAGACCATCTTGTAAACTTTAATAGGAACCAGAAGGACTCTGCCTCAGTTTTCGTAAGTCCCAGGGGCTTTCTATTACTTTCACGCACTAACAGCTGTCTTGAGGCCTTGCCGGGCATCAAGGAACAGATATATGCCCACAGTGGATTCTTGGCTTGTGCAGCTACTCTTCTTCCCTGGCTTACTGAGGAGATCATTCGTCAAATCACAGTCGACGAGGGCTTAAAGGATATAGTATTCACAGGCCACTCGGCTGGCGGAGCAGTTGCAGCCATGGTCTTTCTGCACTTTGTTTGCCATTGCCCAAGTGAATGTAGGTCCAGGTCTTCTTACTGGGTGTCCCATGAGCTAACAGCCTTTACAAGTATCAAATGCCAAGTTCTCACTCATTACGTTTGGAGCCCCGCCTGTGACTTCAACTAATATCACTGAGCTGGCTCGAAGCCTTCCTCAAACTCGACATATCTATGCCGTTGTCAACGAACACGACTTAGTTCCGAGGGTTGATCAAAGCTATATCACATCAATCATCAGTTTGTACCGAGCAGCCTACGGGTTACCATTGTCTGATTTCAATAACACGACATTTACAAACAACCCACAAGCAGATGGAAATAAGGACGCTGTATGGAAACTTCCTCCGCCTGACTTTTATGTCGTTGGAAATGTCATTGTTCTGAGAGCAAAACTCGATTACGATGCTTTACAGTCAAGATCAAGCCAAACCCGTACGGACACTACTGCACCATCCCAGAAGCTAGACATTCTACGAGTGTCACCGATAGAATTTTGCAAGCTGCTATTCTTTGAAATATCTGTACATAAGAGGAAGATATATCTTAACAGATTGGAGAGATTGGTACAAGATTCTGGGGGAACAATATGATATACTGGACAAGACAAAACGCGATATATAGGGTTTACTTTCACATCTGGTTTAACTGACTATTTTGATAGACTTCTCATGTCAGTCTCCTCATACCTCATATTTCCTGTAACTTACTCAACCTGTTAAGCCTGTGGTTCTTTACTATGATATATGGCAGACTGCCTCTTATATTGGTAAACCATATCGATCCAATGTGCTGAAATAACCCTTGCGACGAGTGAATTCTGGCTCCGCCACACTTCTTGTTCCGCCTGCACTATCTACGAATAAAGCTTTTGCTTCTTTGCAAGTCTCAAAATGGGTTTGGTAACCGCTGGAAGAGAATACATCGTCGCGATCTCGAGTGATCAGAGCAAGAGTCTCCTGACGAACCTGGCAGCCTTTACAACTGACACCATTTTCAACTTGACCGGTAGTTGGATCATACCATGGGTATGCAGTTGACATCATCAAACGTTGGTTCTTTTGTTCGCTCCGCGCCCTTAGTGTCTGGGCTGCGTCCAAGGTCAGGAGACCAAGTTCGGATAGAGTCCGTGTAGCCTCCACTTCTGCTAGTAGTAGACCTGGACGAACTGCCGGCCTTTCTCTCATAGAATATATTCCCGGTACCGTTCTAAGAACATATCCAAGATGAGAGTTCAAACGCTTGGCAGATAGCTTTGTGAGCTTCGACAGGGCGGACATGCTGATAACGCGTTGCTCAGGGGCATTCTCAATACATGCGAAACAGCAGCGAGCGGCAGTCGGCAGATATAGAAAGCCACCGAAATTTTTGCAAAAGGAGCAGGTTTCATCAATCAAGGCGCGGTACATTTCTCCAAATGTAAAATGAGTCGCCAGTCGCGAACGCAGCATGCCGCGAAAGCCTTCTATACCGTGTCTGACAACGGCCTTGTATTCTCGAAGCCCACTTGCCAAGATCCGGGAACGTCTGTTGACATGGCGAAACCGGAAATATGATAATAGATCAAGGTTGCGCAGTATGATGTTCAACAACTCATTCGGGAGAAGATCAAGTGCCCCCAACTTCACGGTGGGTGTCGTAGTGAAGGGCTTCTCTAAAGATTTCCGGACGACCTGGTTTTCGTGAGGTCGTGATCGAATGAGTACTAGATCAAAGTCGCGCCTGTGATACGTGCAAATATCAAGAATAGTAGCTGCGTCGGTGTTTGCCATATTATATTGACTGAGTTCAGAATTAGTGGGGAAATCTTAGGCTGGCGTGGTGATGCGATGTGGACTGTGCGTATATGCCGGGCCGAGGAATCACCCGGATTTTATACCCAGTACCTAGAATTGTGCATCCCAGTTAATATGCATCGTAGGGGGAAAGAAAACTCAGGACCTTGATCCTAAATGACGAAAAGTCTTAGGTAAATTAGTCCAAGTTTAGGATATTTTGACTAGGTTTAGGATAGCTTTAAGTGAGTTTCTTTTGATATTCAATCCTAGATTCTGATATTTTCTGAGGGGCACTGTCACGTAATTCACACGGTGGGTGACTTCACAAAAACTATCAAATATTTGCACAATATCCAACCGAGAATATTTGGTTGAAACCTCGACCATACAGAACGAAGATTATCTTCATAGCTCAGTAAATTACATCAATGTTCGCATTTCCAATACCCTCATACGATTTAAGCTATGGTGAGTCATGTGAGCTCATGTCTTGCAGTAGAGGGGGGTTGAAGTATTCAGCATCTCCAGCTAGTGATGTTCCTGAAGTACTCGGGAGTTCGATCGTCCTCTGGCAAAGTCACGTTAAGGTTATAGTTGTAGGAAGTGCTTAATCCCCTGTCATCGCCTTTCTCATCGCAGCCGGTATAACTTTTCATAAGTTAGATTGCTGTCCTTGCGGAGGAAGTAAGACTTACTGGTAGAACTGGCATGCGCCACCAGTGTTGGTGGAAATCGATGTGACATTGTGGTTGAATGCATCCGAGATCGAGGTGGGATGCTCACCCTTCTTGGGGTCAAAGTCGAAGTAGGAGACTGTTCGACCATTATCAGTTTGAGTCGGGAGACAGGGATCAGAATGTCACATACCGCACTTTCCAGGCTCAGAACCAAAGGAAATGCACTCAGGTCTGAATCCAACAGTGGTGCACTGAAGGACAAAGATGTAGCCATCTTCGAGGGTGTAGTCCCGGTCGGGATCTGGCTCATAAACCTTTGGTGCATCACGCTTGGTCTTGCCACCAGCATAGACGAGGGTTCTACTCTTTTCGAAGCCCTCCTTGGCAGCACTGTTCATAACCGTGCCAACAAGTTGGATCTTGGCTGCTTGGACACCAGCTGCAGCTGCGGCCAGGAGAGCAATTGCGGTAGAGGTGCACTTCATCTTGAATATTGGTTTGTATATTTCGAGGTCGTACTGAGATGTTATGAACAGGGCCAGTTTCTTGGGGACTCATTACGTTTATTTATAGTCAAAAGGCTCTTGGGGTTACGGTAGAGACTCTATGCCGACTCGGCAAGTATCGTTCCATTCTCGATGGCAAGGTAGCACTGCGCCAGCTTCTCAAATTCTCTCATAGTTTTCACCCATTAGAATTGACTTTACAGCCTCGTGCGCGTCTTTCGGATGCTTCGGGGGGTTTTGGCCGCTCAGGCACTACTGGCATGAATTGGTGATCCCTTGATGTCCTACCGCTTTGATGGTCGATGCTTTTTTCGACCGTTGGACTGAAGAAGCACGTGGACGGTGGCACAGATTGGTCTGAGACCTTCAGGGCTATTTATGGGTATAAAATGCTTCGATGTGTTCTGAAACAAAAAGCGAGAATATTTTGGAAACGGTTGAAGGTTTGTTCATTGATGAGGATCATCGCTCAACCGTTGCGGAGGTTGCATGAGAGTGCAACGTTGGTGCGGTCAAGAAAGTTTAATGACTTTATGCAACTAAATAGTCTTCCGGCAGTTACAACATCAGTTTAATGCCATCACAGCTTGCACCTCGTTCTCCAAATACAGCATCGCATTGGTCTTGTGCCTGGCGCAAGATCTATTAAGGTTTTGCTTGGTTGCATTGATAGACAAGACACAGGTTTTTATGCAGCATCTAGCGGGGATCTTGGCCGATCGTTGAGGAAACAGCTTCCAAATAGCATTTACATACTATCAAAAGAACCCGAGAGCCGAGTCGTTGTCATCCGCCCAGTCATACGGGACCGATATCCCGGCGTTCGTCATCGACTCGCACCATGTATTATAACCGTTGATTATTGAAGCTGCCTCGCTGTCTCCCACACTCGGAACAAACGGGGCATTGTCGTGGTATGCGCGAGCACCCTCTTCATCCAGGTGTGGCCAGCACAACTTGAGAGTAATATCGCGACACTTGGAGCTGTTTGGGTTGAGCTCTGCCATGGCGCCCATGATGGACAGAGACGCCTGGATCTGTGCGCGCCAGTCGGGTGCTAATGCGTGATGGGGGTTCTGCCTTAGACAGTGAACGGGAATTAGTGTAGCGTGGAATAGGAAATACCTGCCGTTGTTAGCAGATGGTACGCAGGAATTTGGGTATGACTTACAGGATATAAAAGGCTGCAAGCCTTGAATGTGAGCGAGATGTCCAGTATCCTTGAATATGTGTGATTGATTCTTTCGCAGCATCCAGACATCTGAAAACAGCAAGGTTTTCGCTGCTCGTCAAGTTTTGCTGAGCGTTCTGTGCAGATGATCGTGCCCAGCGGACCAAGAACGGACGATACATGACGATCCTGAGATTTCTGTAGCGCCATTCTGAAATGCCCATGCCCAGGGCAAACTCGGAGTCTGGAGGGGGTACAGCAAGATAGTAATACGGTACTTGGGCCAGCCAAGAACCAATGCAGACGTCATCCAGAGTTATCAGCTCTGTGGCGGATGGGAAGGGGCTGGTGATGAGACGGTTGTAGACGGTCATGGTGCTGAGATGATAAGCTGACTGAACTCGGATATAGGTGTACATCGTGATACCCTCCACTTCTGGTGGGCAGTGTGTGGAGTCCTGAGTGAGATCCTAGAATGATAATCAATAAATAATTTGCTTGTTGGTTTCAATAGACTAACCTTTTCGTGAATATTCAGAGGAAAAGCAGTCTCGACACCAGCCTGAGGCCAGTTCAAAGGTCTGCCATATGTGATAGTGGCGCCAACATCAAGCACGCATAGACACCACCATATCCTGCGTCGAGTCTCTGTTTGTAAGGGCGAGAGACTGTTTCCTTCCAAATCCTTGTGAAGCCCAAGCCCGATGGCCAGTCGAATAGCTAAGCCACCATAGTTGAAGCCGGTATTCGGCTTGTTCCGCTTCTGCATATAGTTTGATGACAAACTGAAAGCTTGTACGAGAGTTAGGTTTCCTACCTCAAGGTAGTTTGAAAACAGGCTCTTTTGTGCAGCCTGAAAGATAGGTAGATCTGTAGCATCAGCAACGTTACTGCTCGCAAATGATCCCAAGGCTGCGAGAATGTTTGCCAACGTGTTCCAGTGGCCTTTGTTGGCACAAGGAAGCGTGCCGGCATACTGCGCTCGAAAAGTGGGCTCATGCACGATAGGAAAGGTTGGGTGATAGAAGACAAAGAAGGCGTCGATAAGGTTTTCAACGGCCACTCTGGTCAACATAGCTTGAGAACGGAACCATTGCGAGTGATCAGAGTGTTGTTGAAATAGAGACTCAATCTCATGCAGTGCCACTTCGGCGTCAACTTCTTCTCCATCTGGACGGGCAGATAGGATCTGACGCAAGAGAGCGGATCCAGAGGCAGCGCCATAGTATCCTCTCTTTTGATCGCCAATGGTCAGAGAGGCCATACCGTCCATGATAGCTTGGGGGTTTCCATCAACATGGTTCGTTATAGACCAAGTCGCGGGATCATACGTCCCCCATGATGTCTCTTGCTCGTTCCACTCAAAGTTGTCAGCTGGAGCTAGAGTGGCCTCGAATGCAGTGTCTTGCGATGCAGTCCAGAGTCCAGGGGCTGCATCTAATTCACCGATGGGTGCTAGGAGCAGAGGATCCGTAGTGAACGTTCCCGCATTTCCTGTACCTGTCATGTAAATACTAGAATCAGGTGTCTGATTCGGTAGCTGGAGGAGGTTGTCCACATTGCCTGGGGTCGGGGTTGTATTTGGCAAGCTGACTAACCCCGGCGTTGTCCCCAAGGTTAGTGCTGGTGTAGGCGCGGATTCAGGTGCAGTTGCTGGTGTCGCCGCCGGTACCTGTTGATTCTGAGTTACCAGGCCTTCTTTTGGGCCTTCCAGCATTTCAGCAATCTGGCCATCAGTGTAATGCCGCCTCAGGACTGTCTCAGCCTTCTCAAGACGCTCCTCCAGGAGGGTAAGTTGTCTACGTCACTGTTAGTCCGACAGGTTCCCCAGTGGCTCATAGACGCGGCCCCATGTATGTATGTACCTTCGGGTCAACCGGGTTCTACTGTGCTTGTCGTAGAGGCAATGCCGTCTGTACTTTCGGCAGATTGAGCAGACGGGCATAACACCATCGCATTTCACTTTGCGGCGTCGACATTCTCGACATGTTGTAGGCTCTTCTACAGTAGGGGCTTGTTGAGGAGGAGAAGGCTTGACTGGGTTTGGGTCCATGATTCGTCCAGCCGATGAGGATCGAAGGGCTAAAGTCAGTCTGAAAGCTTCAGAAGATGGGATGATGGTTAGAATTTGCGACGTACGGTGGCTAGTAAACCCGTCGTCAGGAACCCTTGACATCCCCGCAATTTAGCCCCGCCCTTTAGTCCACTTTCGGGCCGACCTAAACACGAGACCAGACTTTCGGATCTAAACAGGAAAGAGAATAAGCTGACGGGCACCTGACCTTGAAGCCACGATGTTTGTTGATGATATCACTTCTAGCAAGGTTTCGGGTATAAGTCATTATTCTTTGAGCATGGATCATTGCCTGCATTTATAGTCATTAATGGGACATTTCTATACTTTTTTTACTGCTTGCCATTTGGACCCCCACCAAAACATCCACGCTAAGGCACCCCCTAACTCCCAAGCTAACCCCCACTACCGTGCGTCAACATTCGTGTAACATTCATAATAAGCGACCGCGACTGATCGGTCAGTACCATGCTCGAGTTTAGAGATACATGTCTTTTAGACAAGAGCAAACTCAAGTGAAATTTCAAGGTTACTATTTAACACATTCACATCCGGTTATTGGCCAA